GCAGTAGTATTCGGGCAATTCTTTTGCAATCAAGAGCCAAGTTTTACAACTTTTTTCATGTTCGTGTTTTTTACTGGCGATTTAAAAATTGCTGCGGGAAATTTTTCTGAAGCGGAGGTTTTGACAAGTACACTCAAAATGAAGTCATTCTCCACAAGGTTTTAACGCTTCTATCATCAAAATGTTGATATGTTTTAAAAAACTGTCTATTTAAGTACCCTTATAGGGCATCTCAAAAGCATGTGAAAAATACCATCCCCTAAGCATCCTTTTTCCACCTGCTTTGAGACTTGTTCTTGAAGCTTACACTGGTTTTAAACATTATCTATGACAGAAAGCAAATGCTTAAGAAGTTGGTACCGGTTGAGGTACATTATTTGCTTTGTTGCTCAGTGTTACTACCACTATGTATTGTTAGCTTGCATATCTAACAGGTTATTGTCTTAGTAACAGACTTTATCCACACAAAGACGTTGCGGATGTAAAATGAGCTGTAACACTCAGCTCACTTTTAATCAAAATCTGTTTGAGTGCTGTAAGCAGGTAATTAGTGTTAACAACTGGGTTGAAAACGTAAATTAGCCACCGTAAAGGGTAAAAAAGCTGACGTTTCGAGCGTTAGCCCTTCGTCAGAGCGATTAGAGGAATTATGGGTTGTGTGTGGATTTATATGTAGGAAGTGGAGCTACGCCATTGGTGGGAATGTGGTGACGAGAAAACAGGAATAAATTAGTTGAATGAAAAGCGCTCGTTGATTCCGTGGGGATGAAGGGTGCCGATTTGGAATATAAATTTTTGTTCTTGTGTTTTACGGCTTTCCGAACTGCCTAGATGTAAGGAAAGGCCGCAAACTGCCATATGCTGTTTAGAATGATAAGGAAGATTAAAGTGTCTAGCGACTGGTTTGGATGCGTCCTTGTCATTTCTTTCCACATCGCGAAGGTGTTCTCGGAATCGGTCACCCAGTCGTCTTCCTGTTTCGCCGATGTATAACTTATTGCAATAAGTGCAAGTTATGCAGTAAATAACATTGGCGGAGGTACACGTAAAGTGATCAATGATCTTAATGGATCTTTTGGGTCCCGATATTTTCTCTACGTTATGAATGAAAGGACAAGTTTTGCATCGTGAGCGAGCGCATTTAAAAGTTCCAGATTGGTCACAGGTTTGAAATGAACTCCTGACTAAAAAGTTGCCTATGTTTTTGTCGCGTTTGAATGAAATAAGTGGGGGTTGCGAAAAGATAGTGCCAATCTCTGAATCGTTTTGGAGTAATTTAAAATTTTTAAGAATGATAGATTTAACTGCGTGGTTGTGAGGGTGAAATGTAAGAGTAAATGGAATGCGGTCAGTGTTCTCCTGGTATCCGGACAACTCGCCCCCTGGACAATTAGCCCCAGACGACTAGCCCCCAGTCTCTGGACGATTAGCCCCCAGTATTTGGACGATTAGCCCCCAGTCTCTGGACTATTAGCCCCCAACCCACCAACCTTGAAATAAACTATGTTCTTGCCCTTTACTTTTTACGAACGTTTCCCTATCATACATTATGAAATAAACAATGTTCTTGTTATTTGCTTTTTACGAGCATTTCTCTGCCATGCGTGTTAAATTATAAAGTAAACTACGTTCTTGCTGTCTTGTTGTTTGCTTGTTATGAACGTTTCTCTGCCGTGCGTATCGAATTATAAAGTGAACTGTGTTCTTTCTGTTTATATATTCTACAAAAATGAATTGTGTTCTTTCTGTTTACATACTTTACGAATGTTTCTCCGTCATGTTGTTTAAATAGCAAAGGAAAGAAACCAGGGACGAAACTTCGAAACTTTAACTTATTGGCGACTTCTTGTTAATGTCAATCGGTGTTTATTTCAAACTCGCCACGCAAATTGTGAGAACTTTTACTAATTTTTATTTATTTGTTTACTGAAAACCCACGCGCAATGTGCAAAAGTTTACTCATTGTTGTTTGCTTATTTCAAACCCATGCGCAAGGTGCGAAATTTATTCATTGTTGTTTATTTCAAAGCCACGCACAATGCGCAAACTTTTACTAATTGGTGTTTCATTGTTTATTTCAAACCCACGCCCAATGTCTGACAAGATCGAACGCAGATTCCGTCGAACGCAGATTCCGTCGACTCCAGCAGCAAGCAACTGTCAAACCCTTGCAGGATTTCTGCAGTTACATAGATGAAAACTGGATAATCAGTCAGACCTTCCCGCCACAGAACTGGAGCGTGTTCCCAGAAGCGGTCAGAACGAATAACGACCTAGAGGGTTGGCACAATGACTGAACCGGCGCGCCAAAGGACGATCACAGCTGCCCCTGTAAATCCTGATCCAGGTACTTCACCGGGAAGCTACACTGGTCAGCATGCAGATTCGTCTGGTTTCAGACAAAAAGCTGAAGAGACATCAGCGGTCAAGCTACCGGACTATGCAGAGAAGACTCTATGACCTCTGGAGTCAATACGAAGACGGCCTAAGGAATTCAAAGGAGCTTCTGTGGGCCTGTGCTCACCTCGTACAACCCATGTAATTTAAATTGAGTAAAGCTTAATAAAGATAGACATTCACAAAAAAAAAGGGCTCCTTTAGGAGCCACAAACTCATAAAAGTCAATGACCAACAGATGAACGTAACGTAACTTCTCCTTTACATAAACTAAGACTGGGGGCTAATCGTCCAGGGACTGGGGGCTAATCGTCCAAAGACTGGGGGCTAATCGTCCAGAGACTGGGGGCTAATCGTCTGGGGCTAATTGTCCAGGGGGCGAGTTGTCTGACATTCGTTCTCCTTCTCGCCCGTTTGTAGTGCTGCCTGTCGATCGATTAGTTGGGCACAGTGGTAGCCCGCTTGAACGACAGAAACAGGATAGCCGCGTTTATCGAAAAACTGGCACATTGCCTCTGATTTTTCGGAGAAATCAGAGTCGTCACTACATAAACGGCGAAGTCTGAGAAACTGTGAAAAAGGTATGGAGTTCTTGACGTGTGATGGATGTGAGGATGAATACAACAAGTAACTATGTGAATCTGTAGGTTTGTAGTAAACACTAGTACATAAGCCGTTGCCTTCAATTGAAATTTTGATGTCTAGAAAAGCTAAAGAAGTGTCGGAAATTTGCCAGGTATATTTAAGAGCCGGATGAAAGGAATTGACGGCGGTTATAAATTGAGTGAGCTCCTCCTTGGTAGAGGAGGTAGCGCCGATGCAATCGTCAATGTAGCGGCCGTAGAGTTGAGGTTTTGGGCCGTGGTATTGGCTAAAAAATTGGTGTTCGATAAAACCTACAAAAAGATTGGCGTAGCTGGGTCCCATTTTAGTACCCATGGCCACGCCATTAGTTTGTTTATAGTAGTTACCACCGAATGAAAAACAATTGAGTGTGAGTACTAGTTCGGCCAGACGGAGCAGTGTTTCAGAGCTAGGTTCTTTAACAGTGCGTAGATCAAAAAAATGTTTGAGGGCCCGGAGACCTTCGTCATTGGGAATGACAGTGTAAAGAGATGTTATATCCATGGTGAAAATAAGTTTGTTTTGGTCGAGGAAACTAAAGTCACGAAAAATTTCAAGTGCGTGTTGGCTGTCCTTAATGTAAGACGGTAGAGTTTTGACGATAGGTGCCATAATTTTGTCTAAATAGCTGGAAATAAGTTCAGTGGGACAACTGCAAGCAGAAACGATGGGTCGACCTGGGTTGTTAGGTTTGTGGATTTTAGGTAAAAAGTAAATACATGAAGTTCTAGGAGTAGTAATGATGAGATTTTTAGAAGTGGCCGGCAATTCTTGTTTAGCTATAAGATCGTTAATCGTATTTTTGACAATGTTTTGGTTAATTACAGTGAGGTCTTTGTCGACTTTGGCATAAAAGGAGGTGTCAGAAAGTTGCCGCAAAGCTTCTTTTTGATCAGAGGTCGGCCCGCCAAACAACAACTGCGCCGCCTTTGTCGGCCGCCTTAATGACAATGTCTTTGCGTTTTTTTAGACTTTTTAGTGCCGACCACTCTTCCGAAGAAAGATTGGAAAATTTGGTGTTACGATTGAATTTAAGTTTGTTGATATCGTGGCGACATTTTTTGAGGAAAAAATCTAAAGATGAGAACTGGCCCTCTGGGGGAGTCCATTTAGACTTTCGAATCTGGAGTGTTTCGAAAGTATCTTTGTTCGAGGTGTTAGAATCATCCTCTTTGTCATGAAAAAAGGCTTTCAACTGAACGCGGCGAAGGAATTTTTCAACGTCTTGCGTAACTGAAAATTCGTCGGTTTTTTGTGATATGGGAACAAAATTTAAGCCCTTGCTGAGAACTGATTTTTCTGAATCGGAAAGTAGTAAATTTTCTGGAATGGTAACTACAGTTTTGAGGTTAACAGGCGATGAGTCGTTAGTAACTTGAGGGCCGATAAGTTGGTCGAGTGAGTGCTGTAAGGTTCATAATAGCTTAATCAAAGAAGGAAAGAGCTCTCATACACATCACGTTCCACGAGCGCGAAAATGGGAACAAAGAGAATCCGTAAGACGGTGATTCAAGTAGTCTCGTCCTTTCTTCCTCGAGCCAAATTTCTGGGAAATTACCTTAGATCCTCACATCATATGTTTATGTGCTTTAAAAGCTTTGCTTTTGTTTGTTCCTTTGTTATTTTGCTTGTTTTTTTCTTCTGCAGAGGGCCTGACACAGTATTTCTCACGTGCATTTTAACTAGGTTTTTCGTTTTTCCATCTTTTTCATCTTCTTCCGTTATTATATTAGGTTTTAGTAAATTAGCTCATTAGGTAATAAAAGGATGCCCCGTTTCTTATTATTGTATGTCTTCTTGACACTTTTGGATGCCTGATTATCCACGCTAGGTAGCAGCACTACTGCAGTGTGGTTATCAAACTTGTAAGAAACCAAATTGGTTAAATATTGGGACCGAGAAATGAAAGGAATATAACCCAGCTGAAATACTGGACTTAGTAAATAAGCGCAGCAAATACTCACAAGTAGACAGATTGATCTTTTGTTTTTAGCCACAGGCGAGAAGTGCATCGAAGACACCTGAACTGAATGTCTCTTCCGTATGGGACCATACACCCAATGGGGGTAAGTTTCTATATTAACTGTGTGCCGCTTCTTTCAAGGGGGGGGGGGGGGGGGTAACTGCAATGTTATTTGGTTTTATCAATTAGATTGGTAATGTAAATTGGCCACCTTAAAGAGAAACCCTTAACGGCAGGCAATTTACACTATCAACTCTGCCGATAAAACCAAATTATGGTATAAATTGTTGTCTCTCTTGTTTTGTGTTATTATTTACCGATTTTTTTGCTATGCCTTACCTTAATTATAACTTTACATGACCTTGGGAAATTAGACCGGTAAAATAGTGTGATTAGTTCTTTCTGTACTGAACAATATTCTTAAAAGTGATACATATAGTTCCCTCCAAGGCCAATTAGGATATGGTCTTCTCCTGGGAAGGGCTGGCTATTGTTTCTTGTCTTGTTTCTCTGCTACAGAAGCGTGAATTTGTTTTCGTCTACTTTCCGGGCACTGAAAACATTGATGTCACTCAAAGTAATTCCGATCAAACTTTAACCGTAAATCTATAGAACAAAAAGTTATCTTTCAAATCGGCATTCTAGATCCTCACGGTATCACGGAAAAATCTTGGGTTAACTTGAGAAATTCTTTGCGGTGGACCAATTTTTATATATAACTAAATTATATGTTATCAGTATGAAACCAAACTATATTGCGCTAACTGTTTGCCATGCAGGTGTTCCAGAAAATGCAACAGCGGGAAGTGTAACAACTTTCAATTCAAACATCGAGGTATCGCATGGTACGCTTTCTTGAATTGTCTCTTAGTATGTATCATATTGTTGGCGTTGAAGATGTATCCTCCGCCTCAAATACCGAAAAAGCCTAATGCAAATACCCAATAGTATTATTTTCCAAGAGCTTACGCTCGGTAAACTATTCTATATGAAGAATTAAAAAAACAGTATAAACATTCATTGCCACATTTCTGAAACGTTCATGAAGCAAACAATTCCAATTACCTTCGATTGGCAGTAATCACAATATGATGATTCATCTTTCAAATCGGCATTCTAGATCCTCACGGTATCACGGAAAAATCTTGGGTTAACTTGAGAAATTCTTTGCGGTGGGCCAGTTTTTATATATAACTATATTATATGTTATCAGTATGAAACCAAACTATATTGCGCTAACTGTTTGCCATGCAGGTGTCCCAGAAAATGCAACAGCGGGAAGTGTAACAACTTTCAATTCAAAAATCGTGGTATCACATGGTACGCTCTCTTGAATTGTCTCTTAGTATGTATCATATTGTTGGCGTTGAAGATGTATCCTCCGCCTCAAATTCCGAAAAAGCCTAATGCAAATACCCAATAGTATTATTTTCCAAGAGCTTACGCTCGGTAAACTATTCTATATGAAGAATTAAAAAAACAGTATAAACAATCATTGCCACATTTCTGAAACGTTCATGAAGCAACCAATTTCATTTACCTTCGATTGGCAGTAATCACAATGTGATTTTCTAATTTGCCGTTGGCGATAAAAGTGTAGACAACGCTGCTCGCGTCAACGCAGTGCCTTTATCAGCTCTCAAGCGTAGATGAATCATCTTATTTGACGTCGATATTGTGATAAAAGCAAATCGACAGTGGCTTGGCGAGGCTGCGCCTCGTGGGCCCACAACATTTTGACTACTGTGATAACGAATATCGTTGTCGATAAGAGTACAGGCCACGCTAAATCCCTTTCGATTTGATAATTGGAGGCAAAAACCTGTCTACCTTACGAGCCATATCAAAAACAGGCAATCTTTTTTATCTCCCGTGACACTTTTCGCACAGACGTGTTTGCTGTGCAAACAACACCTTCCATTACTAAGTTGAAATTTTATCATATTTAGAGTGAGTCGATGTTGAAACAAGGCCCCAGTTCTCAATACCGTCATCACAGAAATGAAAGAAATTGAGATTTATACAAAAGTTTTAATGATACGCTCAATTTCGTTTCCTGTTGCATGTATTTGTTTTTTCTAATTTTTTTTTTTTTTTTTTATAGGGAAAGCCGGCTCCGCGAAGTCAAAGTGGGAATTAGGGTTTGAGTACTTACCTTACCTGTCAATCCTTGCCATTCCTGCATTTCTTTGGGCTGTGACTTCCAAGCTCCGAAAGAGGAGTGGAGTGAATAGTGAGTAAAATTTTCCTATGTGAGTAGTTAAGATTTTCAACTTTCCCTTTTCGTTTTGATCTACTCCTCGTGGTTTTCATGTTGCCAAGTACATCGGGATGTTTATTACACTCATTTTGAAATTGCTGGAGATCTTTATCATCAGTGATTGGATCTCTACAATGCTGTTTATTTAATAATTATACTTTCTCTTGCTCTTATTGAAAGAAACCTCAGCAAACGAGAATGAAACAGTACTGCAATACCAGCGAGTAGAAACTGAAACGTAAGTGTATAGTGGTTTCTAATCAAGTTATGTGTAAAAGCTGATAGATCACTTAGTAACCAATGATTATATTACAAGGCGAGTTTTAGTGTCGACCTTAAATAGTTCCTTTTCCCTTTCTGCTCCAAATTCCCGGATTCCTTCTCAGAAATCAGACTCTCTACCGTTAGTATAAGAATTACAACAATGAATAAAGCTTAAATTCTTTAATTATCATTAAGTTATACCCCATTCACCCCAAAGCTTAAACATGTTTTAGAGCTCCTTTGTTAAACACGGTTTAAATTTTTTTTGTGATAGAAGCTGGTTAAACCATTGTTTTTCAACTTCAAATGTAGCCTATTGATTCTGATTTTCCTTCAGTTAAACACGGTTCAACTAAGCGTGTTTTGCTGGTGTGAATGGGGTACTAGTTTCCTTTGTCATAATTTCTCTACTTTTTGCAATAGAGTGCCAATGGTTCCAGTTCCGTCCTGGGAGTTTCCGAAGGAAAACTTGGCGATTGAAAGAGTAGTTGGTCACGGTGCGTTTGGAGTGGTCTCTAAAGGCTACGCTCGATATCTGCAGGGCTACGCAGAATGGACAGTTGTGGCAGTAAAAAGCTTGCAAGGTAATATTTTTCAAGTAATTATGAAAATCACAAGGATCAATCAAAGAAACTGAGTCGTCTCAATTACATAAAAAAAATCGTAGTTAGTTAAGATGAGGAACTTAAAGAGGAAAATATATGCTTTCCGCAAATGAAATGCAATTAAAGAAGTTGAGAAGATAAGCTTTATACGAAACTACGAGGCTGCAAGCTGCAAGGTGAACGAAAATTTAAGCAGGCTGTTCGATTCATATCCCCGAGGAAAAAATGACCCAACTTGAATGAAATAAATCACATTTGAGCCCCTAATACTATTAGAATGAATAAATAGTCCTTGTAACAAAGGGGCCGGAAAGAAAGAAAGAAAGAAAAGTTTTCCTTTTACCTGCAACAAGACAATTCATTACCTTGCGCAAGGCCTCCATTGCAGGGTTCAACTTTGTCTCCGTCCCTTATAATTTTTTCTTACCAAAAAGGGGGTTTCTTACTGTTTTTGATCAACAGAAGGTGCGACGGAAGGTGAAAGAAGAGATCTGTTGTCTGAATTAAACCTCCTAAAGAAACTAGAACCTCATCCACATGTAATAACACTTTTGGGTTGCATCACAGAGGAAAAAGGTAATTACACGTATAATTGATCACTCTCTTTTTACACAAATTTGAGGATATTTATTGATTACTCTATTGATTACTCCTTCCGCTCACACAGGCATATAAATAATGCATAAAGTATAGTAAATTTAATAATGCATGCTTTTCAAGTAATTTTCAGTTTTTTTTTCAAATGTTTAGCGTGCATTGTAAATTAATCATTGTGCTACGAGCAGTGCCATTATTGTAATTAATATAAGTAATTTTAGTTTTCTAAGTTATTTATGTAAATACTGTTAGTACTAAAATTTTCGAACTGAAAAGGATAAAGATTTCCATCGGCCAATTTTCGACATTAAACAGATTCTGTTATAAGTAAGATTGATTTGTCATTTGCCGTGCGTTGCTTTTCGGGGGGGGGGGGGGGGGGGGGGGGGGTAATGAGGGTCTTTAGAAAATCGCTCTTGAAAAATGACTTTCACACCAATGATGACCGAGTTTTGAGTATTTCCAAGTGCAAAAGGATAATGCTTCTATCCTATAAAAATCTTTTATCTCAGGTGTTAACTGTACTTATATATTTAACATTCAAAAAGCCATGCGTTGACATAAAAAAATCAAGTCTAATACTCAAAAAAGTAAGTTTTACAAGGCCCAGTGGGTCGCTTTCGGCCCATTCTTCTCTAATTTATGACTCTTCAAAGCGAAGTAGTATTCGAATTTGCCGCTTTAACGGTTATGAATGGTTAATGATGTCCGCGCATACTGCTCGATAATGTAGGAGCTAAGGCTTATTAGCGCAAGTAATAAAAACAAAAACAAAAAAAGGAAATGAAAATATCGAAAAAAGTACAGCGTACATTAGAGGTACAAATGTTTGTTGTATTATCTCAATTTCTTGGTTCATTCTTCTAATTTATTCTTACTTACTATACGATTCAACCTTAAAGATCAAACATTGTAAAAAAAAAAATCTTCATTCTCTTCAGATAGCCTAAGTCTTTGAATATGTTTTGCAATGTATATTTGGAAAGCAGTTTTTATCATTCTATAGAAAACCCATATGTAATCATTGAGTATGTACCTTACGGAGATCTTCTCGGTTACCTTCGGAGAAGTCGTGGGTGGCACGACTGTTACTACGAATATCCCGAGATAAAACCAGCGACGTACCTGACCTCCGAGCAGATCCTGACATTCGCCTGGCAGATAGCTGACGGCATGCAATATATCTCATCTAAAAGGGTGCGTGTTTTCAATTGATAATTATTTATAACATTCCCTTGTATCCTTAATATCATCATCTCTTTTGTTTGTTTTGTTTTGTTTTCGTTTTCTATCAATAGATCATCCATCGAGACCTAGCAGCAAGGAATGTATTGGTTGGTGAAAACCTCAAATGCAAGATTACAGATTTTGGGATGGCTCGCGTTATTGATTTGCAAGATATTTATATACCTCGTAATCAGGTAGTTCCTTTTCTCAGCAGTTATCCTGCCCAAACTGTTTCAATAATGAAAGGACGTCCACTTTGACTAAGATTTTTAATATGATGACCGCTTAAACTTAGATATAGATGAAGTGATGAGAGATGTAAGCTCGTCCTTCACCTCGGTCTGCAGATCTTACGTTTGCCTTCCCCTCTTTTCCTCTATATTTATGGTTTTAATTGATTAATTTATTCTTTAACCAATAGATCGAGATCGATGCGCTAGAATCTCTCGATGTCTTAGGAACTAATGCTATTTGAGATCCTATCACTATAAAAAAAGAAGGTAAAAAAAAAAAAGAGGAAAAGAAATGAAGAAAGAAAAAGAAAGAAGATAAAGAAAAAAAATAAGAAAAAGACACTAAATCCCTCAGTTATTCCAAAAGGGGATCACCGAAAATTAAATATATCCTCAGAAAAATGAAAGTTTCTCCTCATAAACTTCTTTCAATACAGGGTCGAATTCCTGTTAAATGGACAGCAATTGAAGCAATGACTGGAAGGATGGAATACTCAACGAAAAGTGATGTGTAGGTTTAGCCTACGTGTAGTGTAGCAGTACCCTTCCCCCGCTAAGGTGAAACGAAGGCGAGGCAAAGTCAACGCAAACCTGACACTAATCGTGTTCCGTGAAGTCACTCTTTTGCAAAAAAATGTATAATGACTGTTTTATTGGTTAATCCCTTTTATAAAATTATTCAAATAGTACGCGCGCTCTGATTGGCCATAAAACCATTTTACATGAGCGTATGTAAACACGGTTTTCGTTCCTCTTTCATTAGTTATTTTATAAAAGAAATGTAAAATGGTTTCCGTGTTTACATAGCCTGATGTAAACACTTGGGAGGTTGGGAGAACACTTGATAAGCTGGAAACCACGACGCGAAGCGGAGTGGTTTCCTACGCTTATCTCGTGTTCTCCCAACCTTTTGCGTGTTTACATCAGGCTCTGTAAACACGGAAACCATTTTACATTTCCTCATTGTCAACTCATTCGTCGATTCTGATTGGTTCTAGTTGTAATTTATTTTCATATTAACAAACAAGATGCTGAATAAAATGTTTTCACGGTCAACTTTCCAGAGAACAGCGATCTACGACGAGGTTTTAAGGCAAGTTTGCGCGGCGTTTGGGATAGAGACATTTCAAGAAGAACAGCAGAAAGCGATAGATATTTTTTTCGAAGGTAACGATGTCTCCCTTTCGTTACCAGCTGGCTATGGAAAATCCTTATTACATCAAGTTGCGTCTGTGATCGATCACCTTTCTTCTTTGGGGGAAGGCGGTCACTACATTTTTTATTTTTTTAAAGCTCTCAGAGAAGACCAGGTGCACTATCTTAATGCACTTGGGCCAAGAGGGTCGTCGGCCTTCAACTTTCGGTCTCTTTGCGAACGGTGCTTTGAAATATATTAAATAAATAAAAATAAATATATAGTGCTTTGAAGGTAAATTAAAGCCAGTCGTTTCATACAGCGATTCTTTCGACTGAGGAAAGAGTCGCTCTTTCTTCACGCTTGCAGCGTAACTCAAGGAAACCTTTGAAATCCTTGAGATTCTGCGGCAGGTGATCCACCTCTTTTCGACGGCCGTGGCACTGTTTACAAGTGCAAGCAGAAACCGCGTGGACATTGAAATCTAGTTTCGTAAGTGCGATGCTAATCGATTAGTGTCAGGTTTGCGTAGACGCTCCCTCGCTTCTGTTCTATCATCGGGGAGGGTACGGCTACACGTAGGCTAGTGTAACTTAAGATAAATGAAATTACAAACTTGAAACACTTAAAGCCTTTTTAGAAAACAAGAAAAAGTAAATCTAGAAATCTTACAGCTGAAGTAGAAGATAAGCACCTCTCAATTTAGCTAGAATACGGAGATCTAGGAAATCTAAAGACAGAAAATACTGAACTTTTGTTTTTACTTTCTTGCAGGTGGAGTTTTGGAATCGTTTTATACGAGATTTGCACCATTGGTAGGTCTTATACTGACCTCGTAGTGGTTTAAGGTTTAAGATTTAAGAAGGCATCGATCGAAATAGAGTATACAAGTACCAATCATCTGCCGTGACAGGTACTGATGAAGCTCTTTAGGATAGTATATTTACTTTCAGACTTCCGTGGGAAATGGAGAAAATCGTAAGCAGTCAGTATTTATGAGAGACCAAGAATAAGAGATGAGTGATTTCTAACACACGTGTGCATATATTCAATCAACAGCTTGCTTTCTCTTTCATGATAGTATTTTAATAAAACAGCTTTCTATCGGTTTGAATGTTTGTCATCCAAAGCAAGCTTTCGTAATTTGTTCCTCTATCACTCGAGAAAAGTTATAAAGTAAAATTAAGAGATTCTTTGGTCATCATAGTACATTGACTGTCATCTTAAATTATTACACACTTTAGGCGCTGAACCTTATCCCGGAATAAGTCCATATAAGATTCCAAGAGTATTACAAAAGGGGTACAGAATTCCTAAACCTGATTATTTTAAGGATGAGTTGTAAGTAATTCCTAACCTCTCTACAGTAATTTTTAATATGATAATGGCAAAAGTTCTTTCATAAGGTAATCTAAGTTAATCCATAATGAATTGTATCGCAATCCAACTGAACTCTAAAAAATGCTTAGCTAAAGCTACAACTTTCTAAACCTAACGTTAAAATAAAAGAGTTTCTAGGAAACTAAACCAAATGCAGTGCAAAAGTCATAGGTTACCCTCCGCCTCGTCTCCAGCTGTTATGTAGTTATTTACCCATTTATATGTCGTATGAAACAGATGCAATCAGGGAGATGCGCGAAACCTAAATCGACATTCTGTTGATTTTAAAATTTTACTACCGTTGGTAATGTTGTATTCTGTTAGCACTAACCTTGGAAAATACTGGAATTCTTCAGGTATAATATCATGCTGAATTGTTGGGAAACGGATCCTGAAATAAGACCGTCATTTGAGTTTTTATGCTCCTCCATCAGGGGATTACAAAAGTCTAATCAGGTTGGAATTCTTGTGACAAATGTTACTCGTATTGCAGGTTCTCTTAAGTATTTATCTTGTAAATCAGTGCCCAGGATTATGATCGTGCGAGTGATGGACGAATGGTCAAGTCATTTTTCGTGTTCAGGAACACGAGCCAAGGGAGACTTGCATACAAAACTGAAAATTTTGTGACACATCCTTTTTGGTGACAAATCAGTGTCGCAATTTCTTGTGAAGTTGAGTTGTTTCCGACTGCGGGCATGTCCCATCAGCAGTGGAAAGGTCTTGGAAAGACGCTTTTGCCGAGTTTTCCTTTCACTTCTGATCTTAAATTTCGTCGTTGCTCTCTTTTGCAGAATTATGTCAACGTACAAGACTGCCTTGAGACTCACCAAAGTAAAATTAGTTTATAACAATCAAAGAGGTTCTTAGAGTAAAGATGAGACAATTTCGGGTTTTCTACTGGGCCACTGGTTTACATATCATAATATTGAATATTAATTCTTGGAAAGAAATGGCATAGATACCGTCGTCTTTCTGCGCCTACGAAGGACATCCCGGTGCCAGCTCGTATCCACCGGCGCGGTACTTCTGGTACCAAGACAACCTCCACGCTCTCAGAAAGAGCGTCTTGATTATGCCACAAAAGTTCACTCCACGGGAACCATACCGCATCGACTAAAACGTACAACGACTTGAATGTCCCAAGTGCCAAAAGATTTCGACTTTCGTTTAACACAGTATGAGCTCTACTTTCTACGCTTTAAAATGGTCAGTTCTGTTGACGACATTTTTAGAAGCACCCAACACGACTCATATTACCACTTATCTCTTAATCGTGAGTCGCGTAGTTTATATAAGATATTTGGGTCTCATTTTCCCTAAAGCAAGTGGCAAACGGGCTACCCACTTACTTGATACCTGACTACATTTGTGGTAGTCGTCTGAGTCCCCTGCTTGGGGTTTACGGCACTTTTAACACATAGTCATAGCCGTCTCTAACGGAGTGAAGTCTTTTTTTTTTTCGTTTGCAGGGGTGATCGGATGTCTGATTTCGATCATAATTTATAACCACCCAAAAGAAGAGAATAAAGACAAAGGGTCCATCCTGTAAATAAGAATATATTACACTAAGTTATCATTACTACCAACTATAAGATAGTAGACGATGGATAACAAATAAATTTATTTACTACATCCATTTTAAAATCACTGGTGGTCCCTGTAATATGATTGGCTCTAATTGGTGCGATTTGTTCACGAATCGCGCCATAATTTGCTCTTAATCGAACCTTTTTCCCAGCCAATGAAAAAGCTACACTTAACATAAAACAACCAATCAGATTTCAAGGCTTGTTTGAAGCAACCAATCAAATTGCAGGAAAATGAAAGACGAAGAGTATAATGTGGCAAATTTTGCAACTCTTCTCTCCAAAACCCTCATTTTTTCCCTCCCAAAAATGGATGAATTTAATTTCTCACGGTTTTTGAAAGATGAAAATGAGATCCTTCAGGCTAAAGACCAACACTCAAGGGACTTTCCCACTTTTCGTATACATTTTGGTGAGTTTTTTTTGACGATTTTCTTCCTTCTCAAGCTCAAAACCCGCGCGATCCCAACCGCGTCCACCGAGTCAGCAAGAAACGAAGAAAATCAAGAGCTACCACAAGAGTCGGATGTTTCAAGATTTCCTATCATTTCAAGCGATGAAATACATGAGCTGTGCGAAGTGGCGCTGGGGTATACTCGGAGCTGATTCCTCTGATTAGAACATTTGCACCAGTGGACGACTTCTCAGAGAACACAAACAACAGTAAAGACTGCGGACTCCAGTTTTTCTCAAATCTTGATCGGTATGGAGTCAGATGTATTACTTGATAATGACACTGAGCCATTGTGAATGAAGGGCTTAAAAATGTTCATGACAGATTTGGACTGACTACTGTCTTCACTCATAGGACTTGCCCGAGTCTTCTTTGTTGGAACTCGGGGAAGTGTATCTTCACTAGCAGGAGCTAAATACGATGGCTTAGCGATAAAACCGTTAGGCTTCGGCTCCATGCTATTTTGTTTTTGCGCCACTCTCCTCTTTTCCGGGAAGCTAGAAATCAGGTGACCTTCTTTTCTGTAATAGTAACATGTTGGTGGCTTCATGAGCTTACTTTGATCAAACTTTCTCTGTCTTGACCATCAGGAGCTGAAACGATTTCTGTGGTTGTTAGCAGGATTCTGTTTTGGATGTCCTCCATCATTCCGCCAAGCTATAGTGGTACCGAAGGAGGAAGAACTCTACCAGGTGGAGTGCGAAGCTGACGGGGTATTTCCACGCAATTCACTATGTGGTTCAAAGAAAACTCATCCACTGATCGTTCTGCAGCGTCCCCCAACGTTTCTCCTTTTTGCTCATCGATGAATGTTTGGACATCACTGTGAATGCACCCCTCACATCCCTCTATTTAAATAAGCTGTCTTAACCTATCATAACTCTTGTCTACGTACCTCTGTGAATGGCACCAAGCTTCAAATAGCCTTACTTCTAGCAAATTCTACTTAGGTCTGACCAACGACTTTCTCACAGTTTCTAAACTTTTGAGAACTAGTTCATAAACGTTTTAAACAAGATCCTTCACAGTCTCATAATGTGCAGCTTGCACTATACTTAACTGTGTATAAGTTTCCCTTGATTTACGAACTTGTACACTCTATAATAACATTTCCCAGTAAACCTTGGGCCACTTAAGGTTCCTAGCTACTTTCTCAAAGTGCAAAAATACTTATCAATATTTGCTTCCTGAAATGGAGTACTCACTCAATATACTTAGCGACATCAGATTTCTCCCTTTAGTTTTCACTGCTAGGGTCTAACCTTAATTTCATATTTACCTCTGAGCTTTTTCATTTCTAGTTCATGCTGCAATGGTAGTCTCTCTTTCTTCAGCCGTTCTTTTCTTTCCTTTTCTTTTCTCTTCAGCTCTTTCTGTCTTTCTCTTTCCTCTCTTTCGAGCCTTTCTTGCATTGCTAACTTTTTCAGTTCTTAGTCGAATTATCCCCACGTTGTATGCCCATATGTTTCTGACATTCTTTCCAACTTCCAACATTGTCTCTTTGAAAGCCTTAACATCTGCTGAGAGTTTCACTCTGATATGTTGTATCTGACGCTTTCTTATCGCTTTCTTAACTACTTACTCTAAGTTTTCCGTTAATAAATAAGCTCATCTTTCTTTAAATAGTAGAGCGTATCGTCGTCGGGCTTTGAAAGAAATACTTCTAGATTAAACCGTGGCATCTTGCTATAATCTATGAATACTCTTACAGGGAGTAAATTCTTCTCAAAATAAACTAAAACAAACTCCGCCATAAAGTTTTCTCCCGGAGAGGCTTCCAATTTCTGTTATGGTATAATGTAGCTGGCATAAAAACACCACAATTCCACAAACTCAACTACTTTACTAAACAGCAAGGAATGTTCTTAACAAGGAGCGACTCCTAAGAGGAGTTCAATACTTATCGTTAATGGACTTTATTAAGCCCACCACAGTCTGTATCCTTGCTCACCACCGAAACAATCTCACTTCTGTCTCCAAAGTTCCTTGAAATTAGCAATCTTCCGCAGTAACTCTTTCTCAGTATAACTTTCAAAACAGTCGTCGCTCCGAACATAAGGGAGTCTTTATATATATATTTATAAAGTGTTCTGGAACCCTCTAGAAGCTTACAAAAGAAATATTTCAGAAGTATTAGTAAATAACTTCGTGAATAGCTGAAATGTACTAGAAAGTTCTATAATACGCAAGTCAGCATGACTGAGCAGTCGGAAGATTGCTAGAAGCTTATATTTGCAACAATTACTCTTAACAATGCATTAAGCGTGGGACAATAGAAAAGGAACCAAGCACTACTATATGTGGAAATCTTGTGCTAAAGTGTTCATAGTTCTCAATAATGAGTACTGATGTTAGTGTTGCTAGAAGAGACACATTCGATCGAAGAATTAATGGACACGAAAGGGAAAAAACAAACTTGCTTTTTTCTAGAGGGGAATGGCATTATGTGACTTTGTTCTATAAGTACAATAGGTTAGAAACATCAACAACAACAAGAATAAACAAAGAAGCAAACCTTTATTTTTACGAATAACTGAGTGTTTCGAAATCAATGATGCTTGCCTTTAATTTACTTTGAATGATAAATTTGCACAATAATTCTGACTGTTTAAAAGCTACTTTATCAAGCAGCCGAGATGTTTCCTTTGTGCTCGCACAATACAAAACAAAATTGTCACCATGGAATGCTAAGGATTATCTCTAAAACTCAGTGAGACGTAATATCCCTAAGCTACTGGGTTCCCTAATGTGCACCAAAACTTGGATCGACAGTGGTTTAGCGAGGTCTGCACTGTCATCAACACGATATTTGTCACAACAATAAAACGACTCAAACAGAGCATGATCATCACGTGGCACGTTGACGCAAGCTGCGTTGTCAGATTGCGAGATCACTTCCTATTGTTGGAAAAAGTGCTTGGTTCAAATAGATATAGGAGCTACGGTCGTGTTGAAGAGTTTGACAATGGAGTCTGGGGAACAATTTGCGATGATACCTGGGATATAAATGATGCAAGTGTGGCATATAAGAAGCTTGGCTTCACTGGAGCTTCCTCTGCTAGCACTAGTGCAGCACATGGTCGGGGATCGAGTCCTATAAGGAGAGATCACATGAACTGCGTCGGATGAGAGAGCTTATTATTCCTGTGTACATTCACTTAGGAAGGATTTAACCATTGCCATCACGGCCAAGATTCAGGCGTGGTTTGTTACTTATAAACGTGAAAATTGAACTTGTTCAAGGTTTAACGCACATTTGCTTGAACATGAACTCGAAAAAGACATGATCACTCAGCGTTCAGTTAATTCATATAAGAAAGTATCCTAACCAAGTCTCATCACATAAATTAGTATACAGTAGCACTGTTTTCTCTTTCAGAACGTCAATTTTAGACTAACCTTTTTCAAGATGTGATTTGAAAAAGATAGTTAAAGATAGTTACATTAGCTCCTGTTTTCATGGTGTGCCTCTTAAGGCAACTCTTTAAAACAAAAAATTCCCATGAGGCTGCTATTGTACAGTGTAACCATTCTTTTTTTTGTACATGGCACTATTTTTTTACGGTTGGTTTAACCATGTTTTTTCATGCTCTAGTTTTTCTCCGTGATCACTCCTTTCAAACAAAGTGAAAATAGTATTATGTATCGAAAAAAATCATTTTGATAGTTAATTCGTTTAATTCCGGTCTAGAGCGAATAGGGAATAAAAACAGTAGCTTTAAACTGTTGTAGCGTCCATTAATGGAAATAAGCAAATTTTGCTACAACCCGAGAAAAAAAAGGAAAACGGCTCTCCACAAGAATGCCAGTTAAGCAAAAAAAAAGGAAATTCGCTGAATTTTATCCCTCGTGTTCCTGTATTACCGCCTGTATTACAGCTATATCCTTGTCGCCAAATTAGATGCACTCGCGTGCTTAGTAAAATAAGTTAACAAGTCATTATGAGGATTTGTTATTGTTTGTATAACGCACTTCTTTCATCAAAGTCCCATCAAAAGCAGTGTTGATATAAAAGGTTATGAACGAAAACATGAAATATAGTCTGCACTATAAGAAATATGAAATAAATAGTTTAAGGCAATTCATTAAATTACATGCAGTTTACTTGGGCCAGCCATCTTTTCGCTATTCGTTAAGTCTAAATTGTGGCCTATATAATCATAGTCAAATCAACCAAAGGTGCGTTAGATATTTGTACAAACAAAGAGATGTTTGTAAAATTCGGATGTATTCTAAATATGAAACTAAATTCAATTTTCCACGAAAGTAACGCTTGCTTACCGAGAGGCGTTCTCGGAGACAAGATTAACTCGACCTGCAATTAACTCAATGATTGCAAGAAGACTCCGCCCATTATAGGAAAAAAAACATGACTTTTTATGTATTGTAAGTCCCTAGCCACCTATCAATTCTCATCGCTGGTCGAAGTAGAATGAGGTCTCTCTGTGTGCTGACGGTATTGATTGCTTTTCTCACTTTCAAACGTGACTCTCCCCAGACAACGAATGGCTTCACTGAAACCATATTGTACATAGGAACTTAAGTGTTATCATAACTGACTTCTGATCATGAACAGGTCATTATGATTAAAAATAATCGTCTCGTATTAAATACATGGCCGATTACCACTCCTTTAAAGAACATCGGTCCCGCCAGTGGTTTGTTGGTGGGTTTTTATTATTATAAAGCTCTTGCTAAAGAGGATTTTCAAAATTCTGGAAAGGTGTGAAGATTATTTTTTTGCAAAGAATTTTAGTAATAAGATATATCACCACAGTCCTGATATATGTATACAAGTTATTTCAAACAAAGCCTATTTGAATTAAACAGAAAATTCATACTAGCAATTACTAAACTTGTCAATGAATTTGTTTTGGCTATTTTTGATTTAGTTACTTATCGCTAACACGGGCAAAAGACCATTGGACGATAATAAAAAGGCTGATAGAACTGTATTATTGACAACTGTATTAATTACATTAACTTATCACTTAATCACTGTTGAGAATTTGTCACTGATGTTAAGGAAATTTTAAATACGCACTCAACGAATGTATCCAAGAATTACTAAAGAAACCACCTTTCAAACCATGAAAAAGACACTTCCTTTTTATTTTTTATTAGTCAATTACCTGATATCTAGTATAAAGCCCTGCTTAGATCGGTACCGAGTTTTTGGCACCGATGGATTGTAGGGGTTCTTTCATACCTCTAATTGCATCCAATTGTACCTGTGAGTTATTCCTCGTTCTTCAAAGACCACCAAAAAACCATTCTATGGTTGCTCCCCGTTTTCAAACAGATGTTAACTTCATTTCGTGATCTAATTTTTGTGTAAATTCGCATTAGATTAATTTTTGGCGAAGCGCAACTTGGATCGAAGACTCGTGGTCTTTCTCTAACCGGGCCTCAAACATCAATATTATGTTAACAAACTCAGGATAAGTTTACTTTTACAAGCTGGCCAACCCATAAAGGATCCAAAGTTGCTGTAGAGGCCTTGCTTAAATGTATCGATTAGAAATTATGTTATGTTATGGGGAAGGAGATAGTGTTTAAATATCATTCAAAAATTTTCTCTTGAAATCATTACGGCTGTTACATGGGAAGAGACGAGCGTTTCCTGTTTGGTCCCAGGAAGGTGCAACATAACAGCTTAGGCGCCTTGGGTTAATAAGCTTAGATTTTCATCAAAATTTGTTATGTAGAGATTAAAAAGACCATATGAAAAAAATTCAATGCTAGCAGCTTTTTAAGATTCTTTCCTCGTCCTCAAGTGTCCATTTTCCTTAGTAGCAAACAGCTAGCGTCGTTTGGAAATTTAGACACTCTAATTGTTAAAGACCTGCGAGATAGATAAATGATCGACGTCACTGAACGAATCTTTTTGCTTCTTTACTATGAAAAACAAATAGATTTTATGTTGCCACAGATCTCAAATGACGTCAACATGTTATGGAAAAACAAATAGTGGTCTTGAGGGCGCAACTGCGTGAAGCGCTGATGATTATACCCACACTGAGTCAGTTAAGAACGTCCTTATTTTTCTCATTATTATCATTATTATAATTATTATTATTATTACTGTTGAAGTATCAATAAAGTTAAAAGAAATGTAAAACTATGGTCTCACAGGATAATTAACTCACGTCAGGATGGATTTCTTGAAAAACTATACCACATAACTATAAAAATTCCAAAAAAAATTAAAATTAATCAAATTTAAAATTACATCAAATTTAAGATAAAAAACTGTTCGAATATGGTGTTCATAGTGAGTACCTTATCGTTAATCTTAGCTTTGTGCGAGGTGTAAAAAGCTTTAATTTGCATTTTTAATGTTGTGCGCCAAAGCTGTCATTCAACGAGCGTTTCAATTAAATTCCCACGCATTCAATTATCTTGACATGCTACAGATAAATAATTTACAATCGTTAATTTCTCGGAAGGCACAACTGAGTGAAAATATCCCGTTTGTGGTTTTTCGATTAGCCGGTTAGGAATATAGGGGACGGTCCAAGGAAAAAAGATAATGGGAGAACATAATATTTGAGTGCCGCCTTAAATGAAAAAGAAAAAATGAGAAATACTCCAAAATAATTGACTTCTATCTTCCCACTAATAGTGAGAAGATAAACGCAAAGGAAGCCGAACTAATTATAAAATAAAACTGCTTGAGAGGTAGGCATGCAAAATGCAAAATACATGATGTAAGCAATTACTCAGGATTGCTGCTATATTGGCTTTCAAAAGAAAATTAACTAATTATAGTCTCTTGCTTGCATCAATAATGATTCATCTGTCCTTATAATTAGCCAGATTTCGTGGAGACGATGTCGCCCCTAATGTGTTTCTGACAATTAACTCATCCCTGAGGTTCAGTAAATAATTCACGACGAAAAAGGTATAAATATATCTCTTGGCATTTATTAAATTGATGTATTTATAGAAAATCGGCGTAAACACGAGGTATTATGTTGTTACCTTAGGCGTGCTTGTTTGAATGAAAGTTCTCGAAGAGCGCATAGCAATGGACCTCGTCGTCCTGAACATCATAAGCATTCTGGCCTTGATGTTCTTTCCAATGAAAATGAAAGGTAAAATTTTTTTTGTTTTTCTTTTACACATCTTCTCAATTGAATCATGTTTCAAGGTCGATTCTGTGTTCTGATTCAGTTCATAGCATAGATAATAGATTTTTCAATAGCGCGAAGGTGCCGCATCACCCAGTTTTGCACGCTGGTGGCGTTTTTCTTCCATTAAAGATTAGTGGAGGATATTTCGCCCCAGAAATCATGCAACAAAACAATTGTGTCATACTTCAGGTGTGCGTTAGTCAGGTTATGAAACACTTTGGAAAGTTAAGAAAGACTTCGAGAACCAAGAGTTGCATTTGTATTCACCTTGAGGAACTCTTGCGCAGCTTTCGAGCTCTCCAAATCTCTCGCGTATCAATAAGCGCCTGCTGACGCATGGAGCAATTGTTAATTGCTAAGATTGTTCTTATTTTCCACTTTTTCTGTCGATTATCACAAATAGGTCAACCAAAGACTATTGACGCACTTGGTAAAGGCATAGAGAGAAATGCTCACACTGGTGTCGCTTTTGCCAGATTTAAAGCGCACAAACTGTCCCACCTGAACATAACAGCACTTGGAGCAGATTATGTCCACAGCAGTAAAGATTGTGGACTTGCCTGTATCAACACACCCTCGTGCTTTTCTTTTAACCTGGCTGCCGTTGTCGATATGAACAGTAAAATCCTTTGTGAACTGCTTCCCTCGGACATCCACAACAACTCGGACAAGCTGGTTGCCAATCATCTTTTTCATCATTTCAGCATCTGGGTAATAATTTATATTTCATTAATTTTTAGAGAACCGATGGTGGTTTTTCCTAAAGATGTGGGAAGTTTAAGTTGGGTTTGCTCAGTAACTGCCTTTATTAAGAAAACCCCGGCTTTTATAGGGGATATGGAGACAAAATGTAAAGGTCCGCGTAAAACCTTTGTGCAACATGTGATCGGGTTTTAACACCAAGATTCTTATACTGTATTATCAAACATCTAGCTGTCTAACGAAAGTGGTGGTTAGCCTTTTTTGATGCTTTGTTTTGTTTTGTTTTATTTTGTTTCTTGACTCTTTTATCTTTTTTTCCTGACTTAATCAGTAAAGGCAAATAGGATCTGTGCCAATTCGGAATCGCTGCGTTGGGATAACTCTCACTTAAACCCCCTTTTGAATTAGCTTTTGTTTTGGCATTTTCTTTGTATCAGAATATGTTGGTTTACGCATGCTGCAGTGGTAGTTGCACCTCGTACAATATACAGATACGACGAATGTGACGAAGGAGAGAAAAATGCTCTGGTTTTAAATGAATCGGTTATGAACAACATGGTAATTAAACGGCGATACTTCCAGACTATTTGTCTCATCACAGGCTCTTTCATGAAAAGCGGCGACAATGTTTGAGGATTATATCTGTGACCAACGTGTATGAGGTAGCTGAATTTCACAATCAATATGGTAAATTTTGAACAGCCACAGCTTCAATTAACTAAAAAATTAATGTTCTTGACTGATACGGAATTTATCGAAAGAAAATGCTGAGTTAGCATGTACCACAAAGGTGACTAGCGCTTTTCGAGCGCGCTGATTGGTTAGTTTGGGCGTAATTTGCAAAGAATTTTCTCCTCCGAGCAGCCCAATATTCAAAATCGCACATAAAGGTGAAATTTACGCCCATGTTTCCTAGCACTGAGAGCTAATTAATCATTTTTTGATATTGGAGTGGTGTATGACAAAACAATCATTTACCTCAATGTTGATGAAAGTGTGAATATTTGCTACGCGGCTTCGCGGTCCAGTAAATATCCACCACTGGTCACCTAAGTTTTGTTAAATAACCATAAACTATTTTAAATCTTTTAGTATGTCAGGGTAACACAAGCATATCGCAATCTAGAACTCCTTCGCTTTCCTAATTTTTTGTCTTTAGTCTCCGTGCTTAAACAGGCCTTGTCAAAACAAAGGCACCTGCCGTTCAAATTACGAGAGCAACAGTTACGTGTGTGTTTGCACGGAAGGATACACAGGAAGTAACTGCGAAGCAGGTAGGCAACGGTTTCTATTTATCATTTATCTTTCCTTCTTTCAAAGTTTTTTCTTTAATTTTCTGGCATCTGATGCTACACGACATGGCGCTAAGATCACGCTAGAGCCCTATCTAGGCTATATTCGATCATTTAATTCAGTTTGCATGTGAGCAAAAATCCGAGCTTCCAGCTCGAGGTTAACGCTTCAAAAGAATTAAGGGCCATTCGTATGTTTTACTTTGGTTTAAAATGACTAGTTTCTCAGTGGTTTTTCGATGAGATTTACCGACATTTTAAAATCAGTGGGCACAAAAGCTTCAGGTACAGGAAATGCAAATGTTAACTTTCCCTCGGTATCTATGACAACAAAAAGACATGGCAATCTTCCAAGTTAAAATTTGTCGCGTTTCCGTAGTCATTGAAAAGAATATGACACGAAATTTTCAGTCACTCTGACACGACCTAAAGATTAACTTCAATTAGAAATATAAAGGAAAATGATAGCTTTCCAGGGAAGATAGAGGAGACTCATTCGAGAATTAATTGAAGCACGAGGGAAAATTTTTTTTTTCTAGAGGGGAACGAAATTAAGTGACTTTGTTTCATAAGTCCAGAGGGTGAAAAACAACAGCAACAGAAGTAAAAAAAAAAGTAAGCCTTTACTTTTACGAATAACTAAGTGTCTGGATACCACGTTCAGCTAGTTGGTCTTTTCAAAGATCCGTGTTTAATTGAATTGACAAAAGTTTTCTGATAGCTGATGAAATTCATTACTTCATTTGCGATTGCCTCTTTTCCACACACAATCCAGGAAACAAGAATCATGTTAACATGTTGCTCTGTCCAAAGAAATTTTTCCCTTTTACACTAATTAAGAAAAAAAAAAAAAAAAGAACCTAAATTTTCAATATTTGTTGCAATGCAGGTGTTTGACCAAATTAGAATCAGAAACTAACCCATATCCCCGAGCATGTACCAACAACCATAACCGGCTTTGGAAACTCAACACTGACAGCACCCTCTGGCCTAAAGATGACACCAGCAAATGCCTCTTCCTGATTGAACCTGGAAATAGTGATCTTTCCTCCGGCTTTTAAGTGTTGCCTTGCAATTCCAACGATCTTAACAAGAAGTTCAATTTCGAGAACCCGACACAACAGTTGCCGAGTGAGCCTATGTTGCACACGTTCTTTAAACTCAAGGCGAAGAATGACGGGTTCACCTCTAATGATTGGCAAGGGCAGAATCTGTGCTTGGCGCACAGACCGATTGGAGTCCACGACCATTCGCCTGTGGTCGTCCTAGTCCACCAAATGTGTACTGGTGTATCAGTGAGGTCGTTCCAATCTCTGAGTACGGATAGTTTAAGTTTGAGCCAGTTTCAGAGTAAACCAAAGTTGTGCAACGGATCATGCAATCGAAGAAATCTGAACGATATGATGCGAAAGGGAATAAAAATCATTTTTGTGACTAGAAAGCTGCATAACAGCTTCATAAAAATAAAGATTATGCGCCGGTGAATAGCTTGTTCATTTTTCTGTGTGGCAGAATGCAAATAGCTCTTAACAGCAATTCTAGTCACTCTCAAGAAGACGTGCACTGATGTAACAAACAAACTTTTACCATCCAGTGCTTCTTTGGTTGCCTATCGTTGATTCATTAAGAAGTACCATATTTCCAAATCATGCATAAATAAAGGATCTAAATTTCCAGTAAATGCCTTAAAAACCATGAACACCAGAAGTTTCTATGAAATGGAATCGTATTTCAACGAAAGAGCCCGGATTTGTAAGGCGTCAGAAAACCAGAACGCCATCAGTAACAGATTATCCTTATCTTTTTTGTGATTGGTCAATACATAATTGACCTGACAGTATCAAATCAAAATGCTCACGGTTTTCAGAGTTTCATAATGTGAACTTTCTTTGCACAGCAGAAGTAATGACAATAATAATAATGATGATGACAATAGTGAGAATAACATTGACAATAACGATGAGAATGACGACAATAATAATTTAAACTTACGAAAAATAATTGTCTCAACAACATCCTGCACAGTTGCCATCGCAACGACTTAAACAATGCTGGTCACACTTTGGATCCAGGAGGAACATTTCATCACCGTTCGCCTCATCACGATCCATTCCATCATCAATAGATTCTAAAAAGGAAAATTTTAATTTCCGTCATAAAAATGGCTGTATTTTTATTTTTTGGTCAGTCCTTCAACAGAAGAAGTATACTTAATGAACCCCATAATTGTTATCTCCGCCAAAAAGACATTGTAACAAAGCAATGACCTGGCAACACACATAAGGCTTTATCGCGGGGAGAAGAAACGGCTGGTGCCAAATCTATTGCTAAAAAAATCATCATTCCTAATAAGAATTCAGAGGAGTGTCTTCCTTCCCTCACAAGGCCACGACTAGTAACGACTTACCGTCTACGTCCATTCGGTGAAATGGAGATCGCGATGCCACAGACGCTATTAGTAGAGCCAGGGTAACAAAGCAAAACATCTTCATGGTAAATTTGGGAGGCAAGTAGTTCGATTAGAAAATCTGAGAAAAATGAAAGGGTGAAAATTATTGAACGAAAGGTTTTTTTTTTGGGTCTCATTCGAGTAAGGCCTAGGGATAAGGAACCAATCGGAGCACTCACAGAAAATCGAACCCCACGCTCAAGAAATTCACGTGATGGTCTACCACTCTGCTAAAGAGAATTTTTTAGTCAGCAATTTTAATTGCTGACTAAACTGCTTACTGAGTTCCTGTTTGAGAAATGTCATTGCAAGCTGGTATTGTAGGATCATGGATAACTAGTACAAAGTTTTCCCTAGGTCGATGAATGAAGAAAGATGTCATTTGTTTTTGTCATGAGACTGACAAAGAAAGAGTCCCCCGTTAAAATAAAAGCTTTTAAAGTCTAAACACGATGGGAATCACGCGTTAAATTTAATATCCTCCATTTGGGAGTAGGCACAAATTTGGCCTTACAAATCATCGAACCCAAAAGAAAAACCGATAACGGGCATCGTGTGATCTCTCGGGGACTGAAGTTGGTTACGAAGCAGTGGATGAATCATTACGAAGGTTGGCACGACAAACATTACTTTGGGGCGTTGAAGTGTTTTTTTTTTATTAAACGCACAAACAAAAGGCTCTCGGCCAAAACCCTCGACACTTTGGTGACGTTGGAGAGTGCCGTTAGGTTATTGAATCGCTGCGTGGCTTGTGCTTTGGCAGATATACTTGGCAAGGAGTGATTTTTCTCTCTTACGTTCTTCCATATGCAGAAAAAAAAATAACAAAATAAACAAATCTCCTCTTTCCTAGCGGCGTTAATTATGATCCTTTTCACGCTCCAAGAACAAAAGTCACATCTCATTAACTTATCACTTAATCTCTGTTGAGAATTTGTCACTGATGTTAACGAAAATTTAAACACACACTCAACAAATATATTCAAGAGTTACTAAAGAAACCACGTTTACAACCATGAAAAGACACTTCCTTTTATCTTTTAACACCCAGTTACCTGATATCTAGTATAAAGCCCTGCTTAAATCGGTACCGAATTTTTGGCAACGATAGATTATAGGGCTTGTTTGACGTCTCTAATTGCGTACAATTGTACCTCTGTGTTATTTCTCGTATCTCAAGACCACCAAAAAGGTGGAATTCAATGGCCTAATATCGCATGGTTGCTCCCCGTTTTTAGCCAGATATTTATTTCGTGATTTAATTTTTGAGTAATTTGTATTAGATTAATTTTGGCGGGGCACAACTTGGATCGAATACTCGTGATTTTTCTCTAACAGGGCCTCAAACATCAATACTCAGTTAACCAACCCAGGATAAGTTTCGTTTTACAAGTCGGCCAACCCATAAAGGACTCAAAGTTGTTCTAGACGCCTTGCTTTAATGCATCAGTTAGAAATTATGTTGCGTGTCAGAGTTTCTTTCTTAGGGGAGAGAGAGAGCGTTTATATATAATTCAAAAATTGTGTCGAAAAACCACTACGGTTGCATGGGAAGAGACAAGTATTCTCTGTTTGGTCCCCGCAAGGTGCAGCTAGAAGATGAAGATGCCAAGTTTGAAATCAACGCGGCTAGTGCAGGAAATTTGGGTAGTTTCCTCGAAGGGACTTATCGCATGATACACGGCCGAAAAAACAAGTCGGGTGGGCGATCTTAAACACCTCAGCATTTTCCAAGGCTAATCTCCACCTCAAACTAAGGTATATGCCTAACTTCTCAGGAACACGTCAGACTATAACTGAGTTGCAATGAGTTCCGGAACAGCGCTTCTTTAACAAGTTTTGCAATTGAAAGGTATGATCACTTGTTACTTATAAAAATTAATCACCACGCTAACCTCAAGAAGATGCGACTTCAACGATGGGTGGGCGAATAGCAAAATGGCCTGGGCTGTAGTCGCTATCAAAAAAATGTTTTGATATTTACATGTGCGAATCACTGAGGACTTAGTCCCTCGGGGGACACACAAAAATATGGTTAAATAACTAAAGCTAATAACTAAACCATATAGAACCTTTTAATGTTCGTAAATGTGTTTACATGAATCGACGACGAAACGTACGTTTAAGGTTTTTCTCCAACATAACGGCCTGGGCAACTTGGGTTCATAAGCGTAGATTATCATTACAAGTTGTTACGTAAAGATTAAACAGACCTTTAAGACAATTCAAATTTTTAGCAGCTTTTTAGTTCTTTTCTTACCCTCTATTAGTCATTTTAATTATTAGCAAAAAAGATGGTTTTGTTTGGACATTTAACAGGAAACTCTAATTGTTAAAGACTTGTTAGATAAATGATCCACGTTACCGTACCAAATTTTTCGCTTGTTTATGTTATAACACAAATATAGATCCCGTTTTGCCACAGATCACAAATGACGTCAAAATGTGATAGGAATACAAAACTTGGCATTCAAGGCGCAACCGAGTGAAGCGCTAATAATCATACCCGCACTTAGAGTCAGTTAAGAATGCCTTTATTTTGCTCATTGTTATTATTATTAATATTATTATTATTATTATTTTTGGATAATTAACAGGATAATTAACTCACGTCCGAATATTGATTTATTAAATACTATACCACATAACTTTGAAATCGCGAAAAAAAATTTTAGCTCTCAGCCCCACATTGCACATTCTTATCAATGAATAATTAAAAAATACTGTATAAAATAAAGAAGCAAAAAAAAAACAAACCTTAAATCTAATTTAAGATCAAGAAACTATTGAGAATACTAATGCTAAAAGTTTCTTTTTCTTACTTTGGACGCTAACATCAAGCTAAACAAACGAGATAGGCCGTTTTCGTTTTCGTGTTAACTCCTCAGTCTTCGCTTTCCAATATTTGATTCAGGAAAATCTGGAATGATGGAAACAAAGGCGAAGCTCGCATTTTGCTGATAGCCATTCCGCGGTTGTTAAACAATTTTTGTGGGGCTTTCCCTAATTTGTGAAGCAAATTTGCTCAGTCAGCATGTGAACAGTCATCGTGCACAGTCAGGATATGCATATGCTGACTGAGCAAACTGCAAACCTGATTTTCCAGCAGATGTTTGTTGTTCATCACTTCTCAAATTTTCCGTTTTAGCAAACGGTATTTTCACTGTAATTTTATTGTCTATGAACAATTATTGAATCCTGAGTATCTAACTTCTCCGTTCTTAAGCGAAAAAAATAAAACCTTCTCAGTTTGCTTAACGCAGACATACCAGGATGTATGAATAGAAGACTTACCAAATATGGACACAACAATATGTTGGGCCGGTTTCATTGTCCATGCTGTCGTCTTGTGTCGCAATGCAGTTAAACCGCAAACGTGCACGAGCTTGTTACAAAAGACAAGATACAAGAAAGCGCTTTCTACGGAAAATTTGATTTCAACTCTACGCCGCACAGTTATGGGTGACAAAGTTTTATTTCTCTTTGTGATTTTTATTACTCTAGTGGCGTTCGGCTCAGGTAAGCAGTAATACATTAGTGACGACTGAATTCGTGATATTGACCTCAGAACACTCTTAGGGCCGCAAGCGAAACAAATACTGTACACACACTTTTCCAATGGCTCGCTGAGGACCAACAGAAACTTACAGTAAATCGATGCCTGCGTACGAGAAATCTTAAGGAAAGAGGCGCTGTCGGAAATTCGATGATTCATTCTTTTACTAAAGGAGAAAAAGCAGATTTCGTAAAAGAACAAAAATTGTAACTTACGCGTTTCGAGATATCGAGGCTAGTCAGTGTTAATATGTTGAAATTTCACATTGGAGAAAAATCGAAAATGTAATTTACAACAATATTAACTTAACATAACTTACTCGTTTCGAAATCTCAAATTTTACAACCTAATATTGGCCATCCTCACCTTAGAGTCTCTGTTTGTCTGAGATTGACCTTCCCAACGCGTAATCCGAAGGTTTGAGGTTCGATTTCTTTCAGGCACTCTTATTTTGGCATTACGCTCGTTACATGACGAAAAAGGGAAACGCATTTCTTTACTCTCACTGTTATTCGTAAATAATTCGGTTGCTCACTCAGTTCAAACCATCTTATGTTTTTCATTGTCAATAGTCCTCGATGAAAACATCCACTGATAAAGCGATAAAATATTGGAGGCGCTTTTAATCGCAAGCGTATGAATAAGATGTTAGCAAGATGTTACTTCCAATGGTTGGGCCACTGCAAGTATTGATCGTAGGAATCGTTTAATATATTTCTGTTAGCAGTGATTTATTACAAAAAAAACAACAACAAAAAAAGCCAAGTTATGCATTAAAAATGTTTAGCCTTGTGAGCTTTTGAGAACTGATTTGGCTTTTGCATGACTGTTACCTATTAATTCTGTGAACGATATCACAAAAACAATGATCTGACCAAAAATGTTTGGGTTGACTGAGCATGATGATAGATTATGGCTGCAATTAGATTAGTTATTCTTCCGCATCAGGCGTCCGTTTCACAAGAAACGTTTGCTTACAAATTGAGTGTATTTCCGATCCCTTTTGTTTTGTTACGCACTGTTACAGTTGTATGCTCCAAGTGAAACTCTTAGCTTAGCAGGTCAGCGTTAAATTTACCTATTTTGTTTCAGTTAAATACTTTGAAAATTACGAAGTTTATTTTGAAAACATTCCGACTACTTAACACTAAAGCAACACGAAGACTTCTCTTTTTTCCGGTGCGGACGGTGTATGTTATAAACCACCAAAGCTATACAACGAATTGTATTTCATGCCTCTTATCTGAATTATCGGAATTCATTTATCGAAGCGAGCATATCTATTTTGAATCGCTAAAACAAAACGTAGATAAGAAACTCGAATTCGTCTTCACAGCGGTTTGAAGAAGACAGTTATCATTAAAATGAACCGTTTAAGGTCAGTAAGCCGTAAGACATTGGTGATGATTTCATTGCATCGAGTATAAACACTAGTACGGTCGCTGGCGAAACAGATACCTCGCGCTAACATTTGAGTGACGAGACGTTTGGCACATAAAGCAGTGATGTAAGAATTAACATCGCCCGAGGGTCGAATAAATTTTTGGTACGTACACATAAAATGACAAAATCGTCTCGAAATCTCCAAATTTTTAACTTGGTACTTGCCTTGTTCACGGTAGAGTCTCAGTGGTAAAGCTTCGCAGCCCGTAATCCAAAGGTCTATACATGTTTATCGATATCTTACGGGCACTCATATTTTACAGCCATGTGATTACGTAGTAAACTCATGCTGAGCGAAATCTCATAACAGGTTAACGAACACATTTTTATTTTCTAACAATAGCAGAAACCACAAATTTCTAAGACTCTATTGTTTACTGACGTTGACAAGAAAGTTTTAGCTACAATGAAGTTTCCTTTTACTTCTCCGCTGTACCGCTAGGTTTAAAAATACGACGTCTTTTTTTGCCACTTCGAGAGAAAAGTTGGACATAAATGTAGTACACCTTTCATTTTTGACCGATATTGGGCAGGTGATGAGACTATCATAACATTAAGCACGCGTTTCCAGATGGCCGGTTCTAAAAAAGAAATTTCAATTAAAATTTGTCGCGACATCTCATGATCAACAATGTGGTTGAACTATTGACCACGCAAGATGACTTGAGGCTACAATTATCTTTCTTCGCTTAACAGATAATTTTCTAAAGGGATCACTTTAGTTCGGTTGAGCTAGCATTCTTCCGTATTAAAAATGCGTTTCAAACGTTTGCCAACAAAGACATTCCCATTGTACAATGCTGACTGTGGGCAGCGTGATACATTTTGACTTGACTTGAGGTTATCGTGACCTACCAACCAAAAAATTGGCCGTTAGGCGCAATTGACAAATTCTTAACCTTAAATCGTAAATAGAGTTAACCGGAAAATTTTTTCTGTTAACCTTTACGGGACTGGAAAACAACCGTCAGCCGTAAAATGACCAAAAGTTTAAGAGCTAGAGAGGAAAGGAAGTGATTACACTTGAAACAGAATAAATTAGGAATATTTTCCTTTCCTCCAGACTTCCTGGCAAATGATAACGTATAACGCTGCAAAAATATATATCAACATTCTGAAAGTGAAAGTACAGGTGAAAAAAGTTTGCACTTTTTGTCGTCACGTCATAAAAAGGATCGTGAGGCAGAAAGTCCTACGCAATATCTAACCACCACATTTATTCGAAAACAGCATCTTCTGAGTAGTAGACATGCATTTTCAAAAATTTTGGCTCTACGTCAGGTCAGTAAGACAAATGGCTATGAGTTACACCTTGTGCTTTTGTACAAACAGTTTCGTAATTTATAAGTATAAAACTTGTGAGATTCGTTCCTGAGAAAAACACTTTCCTACCTCTTATCCCGTAAAATGGTCACTTAACTTAAGTTGAAAGAGGATGTTGTGTGAGTTCTTTGTTGTTCACGTCATTGTTGACCTTAGTTTATCATTGGAGGTCAACTCGTGGTCGACCGTCAACTGTTCGCCGAATCGACATTGATTCAATTTGTAGCGGAGTTTCAACCTGATATGCACATTTCTTTGAGAATAATTCTTCTATATTTCTTCTTTTCGTCGAGCTTAATACTGAGATCCAAAGGTACGTTTATTGGAGTACTTAACCCTTTAACTCCCAAGATCTGATTGTTAATTCTCCCCTCTAGCTGCTACACATTTTCTTATAAATAGGTTACAAGAATTTGGTGTCAGATGGAGATAACCGCTTTGTTTTTATAAGGAGAAGTTACATGTTAATCACTTCTAGGAGTTAAAGGCTTAAGTTTGTTTAATGAAACCCCAGAATCTACACGCTGTCCGGCAGATGTTTGAGTTACTTGTAACTATGGCGACATAAATACTCTTTCGCAGCCGGAGAAGTCGCAACAAAGACATGGTTTCTCTGCTGATGTGGAATCGTTCTCGCCTTCGGAATGAATCGAAATTTAAAACTCGTTACTTTTGATTCGCAGGTGATTTTGTTTAATTCATGACTGCTTAAATTTTCATTTCCAAAGTCTCGCCCAGCGTTAGTTAATGCGATACGCGCGATAAAGGGCTGATCTCCGGTGTAATAGCCACAGGTGACGTCACGAGTCGCTTACTATCGGACTTCGCATAAATATAACACTGAGTCACGGTAATTGTGTAGTTCTCGGTAGTTCTCTGATTCTCGTGGTTCCCTTGGTTTTCTTGGTTCTCGTGGTTCTCTTGATTCTCGTGGTTCTTTTGGTTCTCGTGGTTCTTCTGGTTCTCTTGGTTCTCTTGGTTCTCTTGGTTCTCTTGGTTCTCGTGGTTCTCGTGGTTCTCGTGGTTCTCGTGGTTCTCGTGGTTCTCGTGGTTCTCGTGGTTCTCTTGGTTCACTTGGTTCTCGGGGGTCTCTTGGTTCTTTCCCTCCCCCCCTAAGCTCTTAACCTTTTGATATCCGAGCCTAACAGTATGGTCAGTGGCTGTAAACATTTTAATCATTTTCCCGCGCTTTCTTGACCTCCTGTTGACCACTTTCATCGACAATCATGGATGGCGAGAGCGAGAGTAGCGAGCCTCGCACTACTTACGATTTGGAAGCTAAATTGGCGGATGTATCCCTGCCATTCGAAGAGATTGTGCCAGCAGCAGTGAAAGACTGGCTTAATGTACTCGCGCGTAGCCATGGAACAACTCGGGAGGTGGTTCTGTTGAGTGTATTGACCTCAACTAGCGCGCTGATTGGAAAGAGCTCACTACAGGTCTTCTCTACGTATAAAGAAGGGGGGAATCTTTTCGTTGTTGTGGTCTCCCCTTCAGGTTCTGGGAAAACGCCTGCGTGCTATTTAGGATGTATCGATCCCATCATGGAACATATCCAGCCCAAAATAAACAAAAACCTTCGTTATCGATGACGCGTCGAGTAATGGCCTGTTCAATCACTTCACTACGGGCAATATCATCTGCATCGACGAGGCCCACTCGTTTCTAACGAAGATTACGAGTTTATCGAAAGGTCCTCAAGCGAATCTGACCATGGAACGGCTATGCGAGTGTTGCGGCAATTGCTGATAAGTGCTGAGGAGCAACAAGGGTAAACGTACAGGGGTCCCGTCGGCACGAGTCTCGCTTCTTGCGTTCAAAGCAGTTCCTCGAAACGGTTTGGCGAAGATTTTTTAGGCCGACAATGGCCCGGCTGAGCGATTGCTCCTTTTCTACCAGAAAAAGGAGGAGAAAGACCTGGAGGTAATGTCCCAGCATTACGAAGAGCTGGATAACTATCCTATCCAGTCTCAGTGGTGCTTGAGCAAATTTAAGTAGAACATAACAATATTCCACCAGTGAGGTACTCCCTGAGTGCAAATGCCCGTGAGGTTTTTTTCAAATTCGCGAAGCTTCAAGATAAGTTGCCAAGCACACTAGGGGCCAACGTGGAAAAGGAAGCCAACTGCAGCAACTTTAAGCGACACAAACACGTCCTCCGCCTTGCTCATAGCATGCATGTAATATATGATCGCCTGAGGAAGGCCATAAATTTGGAGACAGGGGTAATAAAATATTGCACATGTACTTGTATGACTACTTTCTTTGCTTGCTCTTATCGGTTATAAAGCTTTGTTTTCTTTCCAGTAGTTTTCATACCCAAAAAAATCTTCTTCTGAGGAGGGGAAGCAACATCTCTAGAACCACACACTCATTTTTTGGTGTATTAATTTTGGCATTTGAAAGGACCAGGTTTACAACTGTAACAACATCAAAAACAGCAAGTTCAGTACTGTACTTACAATAAGAATATGAACGAAAACTTCTCCTGTGCTAACATTGTATCAAACTCTTGGTCATGGAACAAGGAAGCCAAAATACATGCCCCTTGGCCATAAGCAGAAATGGACTTGACCAGAATTACTCTATTTGTTGTAGAAATTTTTATGTGTGCTCAGTCTTCCATGGTGTCAGAACTTAAAATAAATTCATTTTTAAACCTCCCTGAGTTCCCTTGTGTATTTACATGGATGAATTAAGAAAGAAAAGGTATTTGCCATTTACCAGACCATGAAAATATAAACTCCAACTCAAAGTAAAATAATTTTAACTGTTTTTAAATTTACCTTTATCATTGGCCAGAAAATTTAATGGCTCTGCTAAGGTCATAAAAGTGGGTCTGGCAAATGAGGATGTTACCTGTAGAATCTTAACCGTGAAAGGGCCATACACAACTGCCCGCTGCGCCTACACAAGCTTTTCCTCGCACTGCCGTCCAAATGTCAATCTGGTCCAAAAGTCCATGCAAGATCTGGTAGCTGCTGGTCTTGGCATATTAAAGTCATTAACAAACTAAAAATTTTTTTTATAAAATGCTGCCCAGTGATGACCTTCAGCAGAAGCTGGCCAAATACAACATCTCTGCGCAAGACCACAGAACAACATTCCTCAAGGATGATGACAAGCTTACTGCAAGCAATATCTTCACATTGTCAGAGGGTCATCCATTTCAAGCTCAGCTCAATGCATTTAGAGAGAGAGAGCAACATTACCATCACTGCTTTAGCTGAAAAGAATGTTGAAACAATACTGTTACATGAAATTATCATGAACAACTTTAATAGAGATTTAATTGAGAGAAATTGAGAATACATGTACCTTTCAATATATATTCATTTTAGGGAAACTGAGATTGCTGTTAAATAGACATTTACATAAGAGAAATTATGGAAGACATTGTGTAGATCTAGAAAATATCCGTACTCCTCCCACAGAAGGGATTGGGAATTCCAGGACAAGAGGGTAGGGTCTCAGAGACCCAAAAATTCAAAGCAATGTATGAAGCTAAATTGGAATTTCCAGAGGGTTGGTGGGGTTGTAGAGAAGATGCCTTTCGCGCTGGGGATATAGATATTTTCTGGAACTACACATTCACTTGAGAGAAAATATTAATACCTGTAAATTGAGACATTTAATTGAAAGAAATTACGAACTACCTTTGAATATAGAAACTGAGAAATTATAAATACCAAAAAATAGAGACATTTTAGAGAAAGGAAGTAAAGAGACATTTATTTAAAGGAAAAAAGTTGAATACCAAAAAAAAATGTTTGTCATAAAATGTTATAGTTTTAAAATATGTTTGAATAATACAATGCAGATACCTGACACTTAACATGTTAATCATTACAGATTATTTATTGCTACCAACACATTCTTCTAGAAGGTATGGCCATGTGAAATCCCATTTATACAGTTCTGGTTGTTAAATTGAATCTTTGCTAAAATTGAAACAAGCATAATTGAATTAATTAAATATGTTTTTATTTAAGTTACAGTTAAAATGCTACAGGTATTATGCATTATACAACCAAACAATGAAACAATACCCTTGATTCAAACTATGTACATGTTTGAATAGAGTAATTTCATAAGGGAAAAAGCAAATATGAAATTTTAATTCAATTTTTAGAATTTTATACAGAAGTCACGCAGAAAAGTGATTCACAGCTGTTGCAATGTACCTGCATGCCCATTTACAGGACAATCATTCCAATTACACTTAAATTTATGTTGCATGGAAATTGCAACATATTGATACATTATGCATTATCATACTTAAATATGATAAGGAGAAAATAGACAACTATAATGTATACCACATTATGTCAACAAACATTTATGCCTGCTGATTGACTTTTACCATGTCAAAAATCCCAGACAGTTCTGAAATTTTAATTGAGCGCGAAAAAATTTAAAAAGACAGAAAATTAAATTTAAATATGTTGTTGTGCATCATGTGTGCTATGGGAGCTCCACTTTGGGTGTAGCACACCTCCACAAGGAGATGCTTTTCCTGGTCCCGGTAAAATGCTCAGATAAACTTTGTATTTACCACCACTATTACAGGGGCACCTCTATAAGGAGATTGGGACACTTTGAGTGCTGCAAGTGCTGTTTCAACCCCCATTAAGGGGACAACTACTAAACTGCTAGTGTTACAATGCCAACAAAGACACTGAGTTGTTCCATTTTCTGCATACCTCTCAAAATAAATATGAACACACTTTGTATTTTTATTGGACATTAATTCTGCACCTATTGACAGGTTATTGCAGCAGTTATCTACTAGTAGCAGGTAAAATCACAATTTATTAAAGTCCGAGGTTGGTATCGAAAGCTTACGTCATGCATTTTTGGTTGCTTTAATAGATGGCTGCTTTGAAGGGAATAAAACTGGTATTGTTGTTTGGGTGGTTAATTATAAACAAAACCCCATCCACCCTCTATTCAAGGAACACAGGCATATTAATGGACACTTCATAGTCCTGAGGGTGCCCTATTAATGGAGGTTCCACCCTATCATTGAAAAATCATTTGGCCCAGGTTGTTCAAATCTGGGTTAAGATAACCCAGGGTTAGCATGTAAGCTCTGAAAGCTTAAAAAGAAAATTCAGTTCAAATCTTTTTGCTTGCAATTTGATCATTGGATGTTCTAAAAAGAATAGGGAAAATTTTCTCTTAAAGGCTTTGGAAAAAGAAATATAGAAACCTGCATTAAATTTTTAACCCTGGGCTAGCACTAATCGGCCTTTGAACAACTGGGCCCAGGTGATTTTCTTGTGCAATCTGGAAAAAATAAGCACTCAGAAAATTTTCAAAAATTTCCCTGCGGGCTTGTGCTTTTTTGTGCTTGCTTATAACATAAGGCAATATTCGAAGAACCACTTAGTGGATCCCATAGTATGATATCATGTACAACATAATCTTCAGGATTACTGGATGTTGGCCTTCTTTGATCACCCCTGATGATCACACCATGTTGCAACCAACTTAAATTCGCATTCGATTCAGATGAATGAATGCTCAAAACAAGCTGTACAAATCTGTGACTTGCTTCCGAAATTGGCATGTTTTAAGCGTAGGAGCAGCCCAAGATGTTGAAAGCCACCAAAAGATACACAACTTTGGTAAAACACTTCATTTCTCGGGATAAAACTGCGAATTTATCGATCCGTTCGACACACACTCAGTCTCCGACTAATGGGAAATACCGCTGGCGAAGGTATATGTGTGCCTGCTCGCTTTTTACTTCCACTTGAGCCGGAAATGAAAAAAGTAACGTGGAACCACGAGAATCAAGAGAACCAGAAGAACCAAGAGAACCAAGAGAACCACCAGGACCACGAGAACCGCGAGAACCACGAGAACCACGAGAACCACGAGAACTACAAGAACCACGAAAACCACGAGAACCACAAGAACCAGAAGTACACAATTATTGTTACTAAGAGTTAGATTATGTGAAGTCCGATAGTATAAGAACCACAAGAACTAGAGAACTACCGAGAATTACACAATTACCGTGACTCAGTGTTACATTTATGCGAAATCCGATAGTAAGCGACTCATGACGTCAGCTGTGGCTATTACACCGGAGATCAGCCCGATAAAGAGCTCACTTGTGGAACTTATCATGATCAGCTACAAAAAAAACTCTATCTCTCCTTAAAATATACGGCATTTTTCGGTATTATCAATAAGTGTTATTGTAACACAAACATTTGAGCTGGCGATCGGAGTTGACTATAGAAAGCTGCTTTAATGTTATGTCAGTCTTAAGTTGTAAACGAGTCAAAGAAACAAGTTCTTTGGCGGCCTTTTCGATACTTTAATCAGTGCAGAGAGAATTGTCAGACATATATCCATCACTTATCCAAGTCAAGCCTGGCTTAGCTTGATAAACTTCTACAAAAAATGTGGTAAATTTTAGTCATGAACTCAAAACTGCGGCATATCAATGGCGATTCAGTCAAGCAGATCGAGAGGGCGCCCCGTGTTCAGCAATTTCGCGAAGCACGCATCACAAAAAATAATATTAACAATTATGATAATATTGATAGTAACACTCCTGAACACTCCTGATTAAAAGATCGGAGAAAAAGGGAGGTACTGATAATGAAAGTAAGAAGTTGTGATTTTAAAATAAAAATTGAAAAAAATTATATCACCCTTTATTTGATAGCTGCTAAGGTTACAGTAAAAATTCACGAGAGGCGCTTGCTGTCGTGCTCTGCATCCAGTGATCCAGAAAATGTTAAACATATCGGTTGGTACCGCTGCTCTACCGATGATTGCGCACATGACTGGGACAAGTTCCGGATAGCACATGTTCAAAACATGAGAGTGACAATTCCCGATAACCCAAACTTTGAGGTTTACACCAACGGCACCTTAGTTATCAAGAAGGTACTACCTGTGGATGATAGAAAAATGTTTATCTGTATTGCCCAGAAGACGCTTATAGGGAGAGAAAGGTCTACGACGATCCTTCATATAGCCAAAGGTAATATTTATACAAGTGATAATAGTAATAATACAATGGGAATTCATATTTTTAGCCGTAGACAATCCACGTGGTGGCTTTTGTTGTCCACGGTTTCAAGGAAGAAATGACATTTGGAATGTTGTTTTACTGGGAGGTAAGGATAATTGGAGAACCCTGAAATAAAAATACGGAACAAGGACGGGAAGCAACAGAAACCCACTCATTACGTCGGAGGTCCATTTATTGAGGGTCCCGGTAGCTTAACGTGCCCTTTAAATGTTCTGTTAAAAACAAGTATACAATTTGACTGTCAGTTAAAGAAACAAATTGGACAGGTAAGTGTGCCAGCAATTGCTTCTCCGTTCTTTAAATTTTGATCTTAAAAAACGGCTTTTGGCCCTTAAAGTTTCCCCACTCCTCGCCTTCATTTTTTTAATCTTATCACTTCGGACTCTGTTTCTTTGCATCTTTGCTTTTCTTCTCTGTCGCTTAAGGAATGCAAACCTCCCTATAGTAGTTGGATAATTTTGATTTATTTTTAGAACCCCCACAATTAACACGAGAGAGTCCTCCAGAGCCTCAGGTCCTTGAAGGAAACGATCTTCATTTGGATGTTCGAGTGCAGGGGTATCCTTTCCCCTGGGTAACTTGGAGCCATGGTGACCATCTCCTACAGAATAAATCGGTTAAAGATTCAGAAACAAGGCTTAAAATTCGCAACGTCACTGTATTAGAAGGCGGACGTTACACCTGTTACGCCAAGAATCCATTCGGACACGATATCTTGACGTTTGACGTTACTGTTGAAGGTATCGATTTTATTTGTAGTTAGGCTAGCCTCTTGAGAGTAGATGTAGCCAGTCATGAAAAGAAACGCAAAGAAACTTTGCTGTTTTTGGTTTATTAATTTCTGTTATTGTTCTTCGTGTTGTTTGTCACTCTTTTTGTTTTGTTTTGCTTGTTTGATTTCTCTTATTTTCTTCTATTTTGTTTTGGTTTTATTCAGTACTATTTTCTTAATCTGGACCTACTGCTATCCTAGAGAAAAGCTACAAACTTACTCAGAAGCTTCCATTTTTTTCCCTCCGTATATAGGTCAGTCGGTGAGGACGACTGCAGAACCAGGTAGGTTCTCCCGCTCTTTAACCTTTCCAGATGACCTAAAAGGACTGAACAGGGTTCCAAGACTGCAGGAAGAGAATCACCATGTACTTTGAGTCCTAATTAGGAGAATGAAGCCTAGTTTAAAGATAAACTGATTCTGAAAAATTTTTGACGTTAAAGAAATGAAGAATGGAAGATATACCAGATTGAAAGTGATTGGGAATGCTAAGACTTTAATCCGTCATCAGTTATTAACTTCATGCCAATTAACTTAACTCCAATCTATGCTTTGAATGAAAATTTCAATTTTCCACTCCAAATTTATTCTTCAATCATGTATTTATTTATTTGTTTTGTTTTCTAGGGGATTCAAGTCTCGCCGGATGGATAATTGCTACAATAGTGGTCGGTCCATTGTTGGTAGTCATAATAACAATATTAATAATAATCCTTTGCATTCTCAAGAAAAAATGTAGATCGCCAAAACTGCATTTAAACAGGCTGTTTCGGAGATGCCTATCTAATAGTTAATATAGCTGTAAATTGTAACAAACTATTTTACCGCTATTTCCGAATATTTTCAGAAAAGTGTGAAAAGTCATTTTTTCACCTGTCAAAAGATAATAGAACTGTAAATTGAAACGGACAATGTTACTTCTATTTTCCAAATATTTTGAGAAAAGTGTGAAAAGCATTTTTATACACATTTTTTTTTAGTAATCTGTTCATTAGCTCTCGTCAAGAGATTTTGAACTATCTGTATTCTCTGTCCTTCTCTTACATTATTCATTTTTACTAAGGAAAATACAAATAATGCGCGAATCAGGTGCAAATATAAATGGATAATTGGGCTTAGTGGACTGCAATTTCTGTTGGTTATTGAACTGATTTCATAAACTCGCAGCGCGAGTTTCATCGAAATCACAAGTATGATTTCATATCAAAATTGCAAGACACCAAGCTTAATTAGCACTTTATTTCATCTATTTTGAAATAGCAAAATTCAGCAACGCAATACAAGGTATTTTCATTCTGTTCGAATATTTTATTGATCCAGTATATTGTGCTGGTTTATAAAAGGTTGCAAAAGTTTTCTCTCATTTTCTTGCAATTTGATTGATTTCTTTGAGCAAGCCTTGAAATTTGATTGGTCGTCATGTTTTAGCAAAGCTTGGAAAAAATGCCATTAAGAGCATAAATTGATGCAATTTGTGAAAAAACTGCACTGCAGAGAGTCCAACAGATTGCAAAGATGAAAAGTTATTTGAAAATGGACAGAATAAAGGCTGTAATTGGGCGAGCAATTTTAAATTGGTCAAGCGCGTAGCGTGAGGCTGATTAGAAATCACGAGCACGATTAGCCCTAATTTCAGCAAGAAACATCTATCGGACTGTTAGGACCTGAAAAAGCCATAATAGGGGGTGTTAAGAACCACCAAGAGAATATAAGTTTATCATCTCTTGGAACAAATCAAATCCGAGCATATTAATGTTGCCACAGTTACCCGTTACAGTGTTAGGTTATTTGGACAGTTGGTTATTTTGTGCTTGAAAAAAATCCTGTTCAGCAAGTCGAGTACGCTACGTTTGAAAATATAGCATAGGAACATGGAAATTGGATCGTATCATTTTTAGTGAAGGGATCCCGTGATAACATCAACTAAAGGGAAATAAAACAAGTCGCTGTCGAAAAGTGGAATGGTAGAGTTTTCCTTTTCTTTTGTTTGTTTGTTTGTTTGTTTGTTTTTAACCTCGCACTCAGAGGTCTGTGGGCCAAGGGTAGTCTTTCTTTTCGCTCCGTCAAATATTTCATACACCTGTCAGTCTTTAATCATAACATCATTATCTTTCAAAGGATTCATCAGTCATAGGTGGCGGAAAGCACAAGCAATGACGATCGCTAAACGACGACCTTCAAGGGTAACTCTTATGAATAAACCTATAAATATCGCGTCTGTCCGTGAAAATCTCGAGCAACTTACAGTGGAAGGGGATAAAATCCCAGGAGGAACTGAAGAGCAATTCTACCAACCGGTATGCTCTCAAGTTCGACCTCATTTCAAGGACAGGAAATGGGTCTATTGAGGGATCGAGGCTCAAGATTAAAAAATATCTCCGATCAAGGCAGCAAAGACTAAGCCACCGACAAAGTCTCTCCTCATACCGGCTGTTTGTTTGTTTGATTGTTCTGTTTTGTTTTTTCCTCAAGTCTTTCGGCAATTCTTCCTTTTCCTTTCCAGCGGTCCACCAGGCTAGTCACGCAACGAGCTCATCCATACGTGACAAGCGAAAAAGATGGCTACGAAAAAGAAATGAACAAATCCAAACAGAGCTCTTAAGCCTATATTTTTGAACAGAACAAATGCCAAGAACTAGACAGCGTGTGCTCTGTTGGTATTCATTTGTTTCTCAGAAAAGAAGGAACTGCGCATTCGTCAAAACTGATATGGGTCAATGTCATTATTTTAGGAAAGATCGTCATTTCACGAAGTCAAGGAGCATCAGGAATAAGGCTTATCGGGTTTTACGTCCTATTCTTTATATTTTTCGTGCCATCTCTCGTAACAGGTTAGTTCAGTCATGTCAAAACGTCAATCGATCTTCGAACGCTTTTAAGGGGTTTTTGGGGAATCATACCGTGTAAACTTTCAAGTGGATAATTGCGGGTTTGGCCAAAGCAAAAGTTTAGATTTAGCATCGGTGAGACGTGAATTTTAGAAGCAATTTTTCCTACGCTCTTCATGCTCATCATACATACATCAATATGTCATCATACTTTGAAGCTAGCACTAGTCTCGTCTGAGAACCCTTAACTAGTTTAAAAATCAATAACAGTCAGAGCTTCTTTGAGCCTAAAGTTACAACAATCCTAGATCCTCATTGTGAGAATTAAAGACATTTACATCTGTAAACTTGAAAATCTTAGGATCCCTTTAATAAGACTTTTACAAAAGTAAGCTTAGCTTGCGAAGATGCTTAGTTGCTATAGAATATTTTATTATCAGTTTTCCTAAATCGTTTTTTCTTTATTTTTATTGTTATTTTTATTATAACTGTTATTATTATGACTATTATTATTGATATTATTTTTATTAATGATACTATTATAGTTATTATTATAATGATTATTATTATTAAATGACTGTCAGCATTGTTACATTATTATTATTAATATTACTTTCTTGTCATCATAATTCTCATTCTCCTTATTATTATCGTTATTACTGTCATTAACATATTACTTATCATTTTCAGTATACTTGCCTACTTTTTTGGCAAGCATTACTGGTCAGATAGCTAAAATCGCTTTGGAATTTCAAAAATTATAGTTCGATTGCTTTGCTGATTTTATAAATTATTAAACATTACACTTAGAATTAAAAAATCTGATTGATAAAGAGCATTTAATCAATAAAAAATAGCATGTGAAGTTGACATGATAACTAAATATCTGTGGTACTTTATACCTGTGGTACTAACTTTTCAAGCTCTTCGTCTGTGTAGTGCCCTCATTTTTCTGGAAACTCAGAGGGAAGTGTCGAATTCAGTTTTTGGGAGCAATTGACAACATGAATTTTTAAACCAGGTGTCTGTGTTGTTTGCCTCAGCCTTTGGCTTCGACAAAAAAACTTAGAGCTCTGTTTTGATAATTCATGATATCATGCTCAGCCTCATCCAACAATTGTTGAGAGGTTTTAATTTTTTCGCTGACCTATCTCTACTCCTTGGAGAAAGTATTTTGTACAACTTATTTTTCATCTTGAGCCTTATCACCGATGCACATTACGATTTTTATTCGGTGATTGTCGATCCTTTTATTTTTATTCATCGGAAAGTTGGATTTTCTTGTCAGTAAAGGGTTATTGTTCTTATATGATAAACAAAATCATGTCTTGGAATCAAATCAAAGTGTCATACAGAGGACATCCAATGTCAGTTCTTTAATACTAATGAAGATTCCAAGCATCACTAAAGCAAACAGTGGTGTCTATTACATTTACACAGAGAATATTATCGGCAGTGATATTCTCACTGTGAGGGTTTATGTGGAAGGTAAGTTTATTCTATTCAATTGTACTCACTGATGTTGGATTCCTGCCTGAGGCTTTTCACCAAAGCAAGGAAATGCTTTTTAAAGTCATGAAAAAGGGAGCTCTGGTTACTAGATGCCATCAGAGGACCTTAATTTCTTAAAAAAAAGCAATTTATGGAACACTACACCAGTAGTATTTGAGAGTCCATTTACCATTACGGCTCATACACAAGTTTTTACGGTGCTTTATTCATTTACATCGGAGCCCTCTTCTCTTTAGTTGAGAGAATTATTTACCTATTGTTAAAGGATTATTACACATTTAAAACCATGGCTGAGGTGTCTCTTGTGTTTTTTCCTGCATTTAGGCATCCCAGGTCAGGTAAACACTACAACACTTACTTTTTCTCACTACTCTTTCCTCCTCTTGTCTCTTTCCTTTCTTCCCTACTCACTTTCCCCACTCTCTTCTTTGGAGGATCAATTTATGATTATTGTAATTAATCAGGTATCGCATTGGTGGTGATTCAGAGAATAGAGGCTTTTTGCAGCATTTCGTACATCGTTATTTTGGTACCTTCTTTCTCTAATTTATGTTCGCATTTAACTGATATACAGTTTTTTTTATTATGTTAAAATTAGATGTTTTATCTCTCATGAAGGTGATATTCCAACCTCAGAGGCTTCTAACTCTACAGACCCTCCTCCCTCGGGTATGTGTATCGTTATTTGTCTGTCTTTTTTTTTGGTTGCTTTGTTTTTTTCCTGAGGAAAACAATAAAAACAAGCTAACAGTAACGAAGGTTTCATTCACATCTGAGTGAATCACATCATTTCTCTCTTCTGCTCCACTTTTCGGTTTTGTCGTATCGATTTTTTCCAAATGATTAATGCATTGCTCTAAACCCTTTGCAACGAGTTGGGATTTAGGCTTGGTTTTCAAAGTTCGATATATCTGACGTTTTATCCGTGTTATGCATAAGGGCGAGACGCTTGAATGCAAACGATGTTTTCAGTTAAGCAAGACGTTGAAAAATTCCTTCGCCGTGTTCAATTGAAAGCCTTTTTTCATGACAAAGACGATGATTCTAACATCTCGAACAAAGATACTTTCAAAACACTTCAGATTCGAAAGTCTAAATGGAATCCCCCAGAGGGTCAGTTCTCATCTTCATATTTTTTCATCAAAACATGTCGCCACGATATCAACAAACTCAAATTCAATCGTAACACCAAATTTTCCAATCTTTCTTCGGAAGAGTGGTTGGCACTAAAAAGTCTAACAAAACGCATAGTCATTAAAGCGGCCGACAGAGGTGACGCAGTTATTGTTTGGCGGGCCGACCTCTACCAAAAAAAAGATTTACGGCAACTTTCTGACACTTCCTTTTATGCTAAAATTGACAAAGATCTCACTTTAGTCAACCAAAACATTGTCAAAAATACAATTAACAATCTTATCGCTAAACAAGAATTTCCGGCCACTGCTAAAAATATCATCATTAGCACTCCTTTACTTTTTACCCAAAATCCACAAACCTAACAACCCAGGTCGACCCATCGTTTCTGCCTGCAGTTGTCCCACCGGACTTATTTCTAGCTATTTAGACAAAATAATGGCACCTATCGTCAAAACTTTACCATCTTACATTAGGGACAGCCAACACGCGCTTGAAATTTTTCGTGACTGTATTTTATACTGTCAATCCCAATGACGAAGGTCTCCGGGCCCTCAAACATTTTTTCCCATCATTGCACTGTTGAGTAACCTAGCTCTGAAACACTACTCCGTCTGGCCGAAATAGTACTCACACTCAATTGCTTTTCATTCGGTAATGACTACTACAAATAAACTAATAGGGTGGCCATGGGTACTAAAATGGGACCCTGCTACGCCAATCTTTTTGTAGGTTTTATTGAACATCAATTTTTAGTCAATACCACGGAACAAAACCTGAACTTTACGGTCGTTACATTGACGATTGCATCGGCGCTACCTTCTCTACCAAAGAGGAGCTCACTCAATTTATAACCGCGGTCAATTCCTTTCATCCGGCTCTTAAATATACCGACACTTCTTTGGCTTTTCCAGACATCAAAATTTCAATTGAAGGCAACGGTTTATGCACTAGTGTTTACTACAAACCTATAGATTCACATAGTTACTTGTTGTATTCATCTTCACATCCATCACACGTCAAGAACTCCATACCTTTTTCAGACTTCGTCGTTTATGTAGTGATGACTCTGATTTTTACGAAAAATCAGAGGCAATGCGCCTGTTTTTCGATAAACGAAGCTATCCTTTCTCTGTCGTTCAAGCGGGCCACCACCGTGCCCAACAAATTGATCGACAGTCAGCACTAAAAACGGCTGAGAAGGACAAAATTGACCGCATTCCATTTACTCTTACATTTCACCGTCACAACCACGCAGTTAAATCTATCATTCTTAAAAATTTTAAATTACTCCAAAACGATTCAGAGACTAGCACTATCTTTTCGCAACCCCCACTTATTTCATTCAAACTTGACAAAAACAGAGGCAACTTTTAAGTCAGGGGTTCATTTCAAACCAATGACCAATTTGGAACTTTCAAATGCGCTCGCTCATAATGCAAAACTTGTTCTTTCACTCATAACGTAGAGAAAATATCGGGACCCAAGAGATCCATTAAGATCACTGATCACTTTACGTGTACCAATATAGGCTGCAAAATAGGCTTGTAATAACATAAAAAACCAAACGAAAACATTGTATGCTAATAAGGAAGAAAATAAAGAAATGAGCAAAAGCAAGACAAAAATATCCATGCGGATGTATTTGCGGCACGTGATCATTTAGATGTAAAGATTGCGTGACACCGATCGGAGTCTATTTTTCAGATCAATTCAATTAGTTCCTTCACTTCTTGCCTCTTTCATTGGAAACATTCAATACAAAACTCAATAGATACCCAGAGGAGGCTCTTTATATGCAAGAAATGGATCCAGGTCCCGCAAAAATATTGCACAAACCAGTTCGCCATTTGATTGGCTCACTGACAACAGACCAAGTCCCTCAATCAATAGGAAAACGAAGTGAACGCAAGTCTGACAGTCATTTTAAATCTTCTCTATCTTTCTGTCTAGCACTCTTTAAAGCAGCGCTTCTCAATAATACCTTTTTTTCAAACGTTTATTGCAGGTCCACGTTTCCTTGAGTTCTACAGTAGCGGATCACTGCAGGTCATTCGCTTTAAGCGACGCGAAGGAGCCTTCGTTCCAGGCCACATGTGATCACGATCACAGTGACGTGTGTGAGCGCTGCGCTACATTGGCGTCAACTTTAAATGATATCGAGGAAGGTTTGGTTGCGCAAAGTCAAAACATGACATCCAACACGAAGGAAGAACTTGTTTTCCGAGTTAAGAATGCAAAGACCGCTTTATTGGCGTGGAAGTCTCATCTCCTCCGTTCCGTCAATCAGGATGGCGCCAGAGTACAGCTTTTGGAAGCGATTGATGAGTCATCTGTATTACGTGTTCAAGATTAGGCAACGAAATATCTTCCTCGGAAGTATAGAGAAAGTCAGACCGATTGGTTCGGTAAACGAGGGATCCCATGGCATTTGACAGTTGCCACAAGACGAGAGGGTGGGGAGTTGCAGATACTAACGTTCGCACACGTTTTCAAGTCTTGTAGTCAAGACACCAGCGCAGTCCTTGCCGTTATGGCCGATGTTATTCGGCAGCTCAAGATCGTCATGCCCGGGCTCAAGATCGTCTATTATCGGCAGGATAATGCCGGCTGCTACCACTGCGGAACCACTCTCGTCTGTGCAGCAGCCCTTGGCCATGAAGGTGTCAAGATCAGGCGTCTAGATTTTTCTGATCCACAAGGGGGCAAGTGATCGGAAGGCTGCGACAATAAAGTCACACATGAGGATCTATCTTAACGCTGGAAATGATATCGAGACGCCTGAGCAGATAAGAGACGCGATACTCTCTTTTGGTGGAGTTCCTGGTGTTAACGTAGCATTGTGCGAGACTGTCCAAGTCCCGACGGTGCTATCTTCAGCTCAGTAATGTCGAGTACAAGGAAGAGGGGCTACTAGTTTGGAGGGCGTATAGTATCGGCGATGGTAAACTCATCCCTACAGACAAATTGCATTGCCCATCCCCATCTGACCTACCGACCCTTACCAAAGTTACTCGCTCTTAGTCAAGCGCATTTACATCTGTCAAGGAGAGGCGCATAAAAGCAGCAGTTTGAGATCCAGATCCACCAGTGCATTTCGAAGAGGAAGACAGTAACGCGGCGATCTTCAGATGTCCTGAGGAGGGTTGTGTCAAACTATTTGGGAGATATTCATCAAAGCAGCGGCATTTAGACTGTGAGAAACACCAACGTGCTCTTGAGCGACATACTCTACTAGATAGCGAGCAAAGGCAAGTCGAATTGTTTACATTCAGGCTGGTGAAACAAAATCTCTTCGAAAGGTCAAATTGGGTCAACTTGCATGGGGCCAATCGCCTCAGAAATAACTTGAGGAAAACCATAATTTGTTATGCGCTTCACGTGAGTTCGATTATCTGATAATGAAATTTGACCTCATTTCTGTGATTTTTCGGCTTCATGGGTGGTCGACGGTTTTTCGTAATTTTCTCAAAAATGTAAAAACTCTAGAACTTAAGACTTATATCAAGATTTTTAGTATACCATAGGTTATCTCTGGACGAAATATCAAGAGATCCATTTTTCCTACCTTGTGCTACATTTCCTCAATCTCACTCGGTCCTTACAGAGAGTCGCTCTTAATCTTCCTAATCATTTTAAACAGCATATGGTAGTTTGCGGCCTTTGGTTACATCTAGGCAGTTCAGAAAGCCGTAAAACACTTGAAAAAAAATTATCTTCCATTTCGGCACCCTTAATCCCCACGGAATCAACGAGCACTTTTCATTCAACTAATTTATTCCTGTTTTCTTGTCACCATATTCCCACCAATGGCGTAGCTCCACTTTCTGCATATAAGAATGCATTTATGGTGTTTAAGAAGTTGGAAATAAAATTTTCTTATCTTGCATTTATTTTGTTTCATAAACTTTCCGTTCTCATCCTTGAGAGTTTGGATTTCGAGTTGCACTGCCAACGACAAGTTACTGTAAGCGAGCTGACGGACTTGTCAGTCCGAGACGTCCAAACAAATATCAAATATCCATAGAAGGTGATAATAATAACGATAATAAGAACTATTGTGATAATTAGAATCACTATACATTCAGCTCACTATCTCTTTTCTGATTGGCCAAGACGTATGGTGAATTTTTGCGAAAACTATTATGCAAGTATCAACGGTAGCATGTTTCTCAAAACAGGATCACATTGGGCGTATTGGCCAATGGCACGTTAGAAGGGTCCCTGAGAGAAAAAAAAAGCTTCCCATGAATGAATGAGATCTTTAATTTTTTACTTGATCATTAGTTAGACCTCAATACTAAAACCAGATTCATACAGAACACGTTCAGTTAAATAGGATGAATGAGACCCTAAACAAAGATCTAAAAAATACTTTTTCCGTGGGATCCAAGTAGACAAACATGCAGCTCATGAAGAAAGCAAATTTAAACTTAGTTGCTTTTGTGTGAATGGGGTTTAAGACATATCATAGTAAAGCTCGGATACAATGCGCGCTTTCATTTATTGAAAGAGCGTGCCCTATCAGAGATACAGCGATCTCCGGTCATCGCAGTAAAGCAATCCTCGGAAATTACATCTTCTGCCCTTGAAGTGAACAATTAAGAGCTTGCTCTGATATCCTTCCCGATGCGTTGAGTGGAAGTCCACACCAGTCGCTACAGCCAAGTCCTAATGCAGATTGAGAACTTTGATAATTTGACATTTTTGACAGCTTTAGTCGTATTCAACCAATCAAATGAATGAAACGACACATATCGAGTTATTATCGTTAACATCGTTTTATCATCGTTATCAATATCATCATCATGTTGATATAGATCTCTCTGTTTTGGGTGGATTAGAGAGTTTCTATGTTCAACTTTGTCAACGCAAAGAGGTACTTACACAATTTTATCATCTGTGTCAAAAAACGTTTTGAGTTTTTTGAAAGTCTTTCTTTTTTTCCTTTGTCTCAGTTTTTTCCGTTTTTCTTTGGGTGTCCTGTTTTACCCCTTTTTTTTAAGAATTTTTGTTAATGCTCGTTTACCTTTTTCTTTTTTTTTTTTTTTTTCACTCACGTCCTAGTTTATTTTCTTCCTCCCAGAGAAGAGGATGCCTATGAAATGACCATCAGGGCGTTTTTGCCTTTTCTGGTACTCGCAAGGGAGTAATATAATTTATGTACGACGCACTAACATTGACTCGAATCGAGCTGAAAAATTCTTCATTTACAGTTTGAAATATTGTAGTTCAACCTCAAATCTTTTACGGGATGGTTCGACCAATGTATTAGTTGCATGCCTATGGACGCAGTCATGTGTTTCTACCGTTTCTAACGTAATAAAGAGATTCCTGCGTTCCAGAGCGAAAACATCGTTTTGAAATTTCGCAAGCCTAAATGCTTAAATAGGAACTCAAAAACCTCGTCAGCTTCTTGTATGAAGATAATTATGACATGAATACGTCGATAGAATCACAACTATATGACACACACGTGTCTTTATCATCACAATAAAATGAATAAATAACATTTTCCGATCTCTTATTCCGTAAAATGGTTAAAATTAAAATTAAAGACGATGTTGTGTGACCTTTTCTGGTTGACGTCATTGCTAACCCCAGTTCATCATTGGACCAGACCAACAAATCACATTCACTTTTTTTCAACTTCCGGTCGACTGCCAACGGTTCATCGAATCGACATTAATTGGTTCAATTTGTAGCGGAGATTCAATTTGTTACGTACAGTTCTTTGAGAATAATTCTTCTGTATTTCTTCATTTCATCGAGCTTAATACTGAGATCCAAAGGTATGTTACTAGAGCACTTAGTTTGTTTAATGAAATCCCAGAATCTACCCACCGATCGGCAGATGTTTGAGTCACCTGTAACTATGGCGGCAGAAAGACTCTTTCGCAGCCAGAGAAGTTATAACAAAGACAAGGTTTCTCTGCTAGTGTGGAATTTTTCTCGCCTTCGCCATGTTTGCGATCGTATGCTAAACCAATGACCTAATAGTAATCTTCGATCAATTTATTTCGGCTGTTTAAAGTTCGGCGTTTAGATCAATTCAGCCAGGATTAACTAATTTAGGTCGACTTCTCGTTGAATTCAACTCGGCGCGGCTTAGCATCGCACTCGCCAATTTAAATCTACGGTTAGACTCGTGTTTTGACAACTTAAATTTCTTAGAGTACATTCCATAGTATCAATAAAGTCAACAAGTATGTAACGAGGTGCCTCTTCTCATCAATACGGCATACGGTGGGTCGATAAACTATACTATAAAGCATTTAGGAAATTTTATTCATATATTTAATGCGGCATATCATTGGTGATTCAGTCAAGCAGATCGCGAGGGCACCCTGTGTGCAGTAACCTTGTAAATCGCGCATTACAAAAAATAATATTAACAATTTTGATAATAACGATGGTAACAAAAGTAATAGCGATAGTAATAAGAAGTAGTGATAATCAGACTGAAAAACCATCTATGGAGACCCAGGGGCTGTGAGTCGTTTCAAGTCAGAGGCTCATCCGCCCTGACTTTAAATCGACTCACAGCCCTTGGGTCTCCGAGGATGACTGACATGCGAATGATTTAAAAAAATCGGACCACCACGAGAAAGATTTGAGACAAAAACTAGCCAACAGTCCGACGTCTTCATTAAAAACAACAACTAACTCAGAAATGCACGACAACAGCTCATGCACATGGCCTACTGTCCAAAGTCCTCTTCCTACTATTGCTAAAATCGGGCTGATGAGAAACAATCGCGTTGAAGAATTTGACATAGTTTTAATTGTAACTATGATTATAATGATAATAATATTGTTAATAATAGAGGTAAAGATAGTCCTAATAGTAATTGTTTTGATAATAATTTAATAATGCTGATAATATCAATGATAAAAATGACGACAAGCTAAAATTTATTCCCTATTTAAATAGAACGCTTAAAGTCGGTCAGCGCGTGATTACATGCAAGTTTTTAAAAAGAAGCTCACCGAACACTCCTGAAAAAAAAAAATCGGCGAAAAAGGGAGGTATTGATGGTGATAGTAAGAATGATATCAACAGTTATGATATCACAATAAAAAATTTTAAAAAAATTGTATTACCTTTTATTTGATAGGTGCTGAGGTTACAATAAAAATTCACGAGAGACTCTTGCTGTCGTGCTCTGCATTCAGTGATCCAGAAAATGTTCAACATATCGGTTGGTACCGCTGCTCCACCGATGATTGTGAACATCACTGGAACAAGTTCAGGATAGCACATGTTAAAAATACGAAAGTGACAATTGCCGATGACCCAGACTTTGACGTTTATACCAACGGAACCCTAGTTATCAAGATGGTACAGCCTATGGATGATAAAAAAATGTTTATTTGTAAAGCCCAGAAGAACCTAATAGAGATGACAAGGTTTACCACGATCCTCAATATAGCCAAAGGTGATGTTTATATAAGTGTTATATGATGATGATAATAGTTATCAGTCATCCCCACTCCTCGCTTCGTATATTTAATCTTATCACTTCGGTCGCTTTTTCCTTGCATCTTTGCTTTTCTTTTCTGTCGCTCAAGGAATGCAAAATTCCTTATAGTAGTTGGATATATATATTTTTTAGAACCTCCACAACTAATACGAGCGAGTCCTCCACAGCCTCAAGTCATTGAAGGAAACGATCTTCATTTGGATGCTCGAGTGCAGGGCTATCCTTACCCCTGGGTAACTTGGAGCCATCGTGACCATCTCCTACAGAATACGTCGAATGTCGATTCAGAAACAAGGCTTAAAATTCGCAACGTCACTTTATTAGAAGGCGGAATTTACATCTGTTAAGCCAAGAATCCATTGGGACACGATAACTTAACCTTTGACGTTAATGTTGAAGGTATTGATTTTATTTTTAGTTAGGCTAGCTTCGTGAGAGTAGATGTAGCCTGTTACAAAGTTTGCTCTTTTTCTTTTTGTGGTCTAAAAATTTCTCTTATTGTTCTTCGTGTTGTTTGTCACTTTTTTTTGTTTTGTTTTTTTGCGTGTTTTATTTCTCTTATTCTTCTGTTTTGTTTTGGTTCTGTTACTATTTTTTATCGAAACCGATTGCTATTTTAGAGAAAAGCGACACACTTACTCGGACGCTTCCATTCTTTTTCCCTCTGTATCAATGTCAGCCGGTGACGACGACTGCAGCGTTAGGTAGGTTTTCCCGCTCTTTAACCCTTCCAGATGACCTAAAAGGAATGAACAGGGTTCCGAGAGCTGCCTTGGAATATAATAACTTCTTTAAAATATGAACAGCTGGGCAAAGTATAGAAGTTATTTAATTTGGCCACTCTGTCTCTACCCTTAGATTCCCAAACTCCATCATCTTCACCAACATCAGGTAAGCACGATGTGTTCTATTTCAATTTTTCCAATGTCAGTTTTGGAGCAAATTTTAACTGTGTCCAAACTTACATAGGATTGCATTGATTTTTATCAATCCTTTTTTTCACGACCAAAATCTTTCCTACTGGTTTTTGTTTATCATCGAACTTAACTCTATCTCAAAGCCGCACTCGTGGAATTGCATATGAACTGATTCCCTCCGCTTCTCTCCTCACTTCCTTCCACATAAATACCTGCACCTTCTCATCCATATCCCTACTCACATAATCTCCCTCTAATAGAAAAACAAGTTTCAGTCCAACCTGTGTTAAGTGGTCACTCACGCGGAATGGCAGCATGACCGCTTCATACAGGTTGACCGCTATGCAGGTTCCACAGAATAGGGGTATTATGGAAAACCCTTTAAAAAGTGCCACTTTATGTCACAATTGACCACGAAGATATACCAGATTGAAAGTGACTATGAATACCAAGATTTTAATCCGTCATGAGTTATTAACTTAATTCCAATAACTTAAGAGCCAATGTCAGCATGAATCAAACAAACAGCGGCAAGTCACCCAAATTTGTTTTCCCTCCTACTTTTATATTTTGTAGCCCAATATGTTGTGGTGTAGTTTTTTTGCGATCCCATAAGTAAGCTGCTTTATCAAGTGTGATTGTGTCAGCGAAAATAATGTTCACTATTTCCAAAAGAATTAAGAAGAGACCCCACTTCTCTTCATTACGAGGCATATGGCTGCAGATCATCAATGGAAGGAAACGGCCAAGGCACCACATCTGTGAAGCTAATATCGCATTATGATCAACAGAACTACCAACACACAGTTTTGTCAATTTCATAAGTGAAATAAATTACATATATATATATATATATATATATATATATATATATATATATGTATCTGTGCCATTGATCAATTACAAAAACATTCCGCTACTTTTAAAAAATATACCAGATACGGTAGGATCGTGATGTTTAGCACTTGGCAAATGTTTGGGAAATTTTGAATTACTGTAACTTGCAGTTCAAATATTACCATAACAATAAAAATGGAGAAAAAAAGCCTTTTACTTACAAAATTAATACTAACAATGTACATCAGGGTGATAATCCAATGATAATGAATGTATCTTGTGTCAGAGTTGCAAGTGTTGGAATTTAAGGTGGCACTTGATATGGTTTGTTGAAAACATCTGGATAACCGTAATCTAAAATTTTAATCTAATAATTTAAATTTTCCAAGGTGAAAAACTGCTGCTCATTTAAAGTATATTTGAGGAGTTCTTTGACTTCATGTTGAAGACGCCCCTCAAGGACATCATGCATTGCATCACCCGGAAGACCTTCGATGACATGCAACTATCGCGACTGGTTCAGAGCTGATATCAGATTTATTCCAAATTGTGAAGAAATGTCCATGACTGAAACTTCGATGGCTGTGCACTGCTGATCATACATTGCTTTGGTGCGTAATTGGAAATCATCTTCCACAAACTGTGGAGAATAATGAGAAATTTATTGGATTTCAACACCACACTTCAATTACAAACTTTATAAGACACGATTTACAACACAGTTTTTTCATGGTAAGTCACAGGATCAGGTGGTTTAATCATTAATAGAGGGTAGTATCTTCGGTACTACATAGAATGGTTCTCACATGGCTACTGGGAAAGTTAAGCAAAAATTTATCACAATGAGCAAACGCCTAAGGAAAAAAGTTATGAGTAGGCAACAAAGTGCAAAAGTGCAAAAAGAATGGGAAGAGATTTAGACAGTTGCATATAGACTGTCAAAACATTATATTGTCAGTGGAAAAATAGTTCATCTTTTCTTTCATTATATTACCTTTGAGGTCACATCATTTTCATCTTCCATGCAAACTCTGCACTTCAGTGCAGAACAGTTTCCAATTTTAAAGCCTCCAATCTCCTGGGATGCAAATTATCACCAGAAACAAAGCTGATGGTTCCTCTCAAAGACTTTCTTTCCCCATTTGTGGTAAACTGGTATCCTCCATCCTTAGGAAATAAATATAGATCAACTAAAAAAAAGGATGTCGATAGATAAGCCCTGATCTGTCCGATATATGCAAATAAGACTTGTACAACATCTTGAAAATTTATTGCATTTCTATACTTTCAGTTTACTCTATAACAGATATTGAATGTACTGCACACTGTGGTCATTTATTTATCTCAACTACTACACCTAAACACCTTTTCTTACTTTCTGAGGTACATGTATGGATGTCTCATGTCTTGTGACAATATAGTGACATAAAAATATCTCATTACCAACTTTATGTCTTGAGGTTGCTCTCCCATAAGCCCGGTGGCTTCCTGAGTCTCCTCGCCTTCTAGTTATAACCGCTGTAAATAATTTTTTGCATTGTGTTAATAAGGCAAATAAAATATGATGATGATGATGATGAAGGTTTTGCTGCCCAGTGGATTCACAACTTCAACATCATCATATAATATTTAAAGCATGTGGGTCCCTGGAGAAAAGATGGTGCTGGCGGTAAACCTGACAATCACAACAATCAGCAATCATCTCATCATGTCGTTGATGTGAGTTTTGTCTAGAAACAATTTGTAAAAATTTACAAATAAATCACCACTACAGTAACATTTCACTTTTAACAAATTTAAGAATACCAGTGGGCAAAGTAATGGAAATTACCAACCAGGCAAATTCCCACAAGTTGAGAACTGGTCCACATAAAACTAAGTTCCCCTAATGATAAAACAAGTACTGCAAAGTGAAGAATGACTTCACCATAATTTCTGTTTACCTGTTTCAAAATTGAGGGGTTGTTCAACCACTGCTCTAAACTTTCAAGAAGAGGGATCTCAATGACTTCATCATGTAGTTGAACCCTTTTTCTTACTGCACTTTTCCGTCAATGACCATGGAAGTTTCTAAGCACACGTTTCACAGGTTCCTGTTCAGGGGACATTACATAATGCATGTTGATTTATTACATTTCAACAAAATGTCACACTGCCCTTGCGAACGGAATTCCCAGTTTGATGGGAATTCCTAGGAATTCCAAAATCCATTTCGCACGGGAACTCCTAAGAAAAAATTCCTAGGAATTCCTAGGAATTCCAAAATCCATTTCGCAAGGGTGATACAGAAACATCCAAGTTAGCCTAGCTAGTTGGTTCAAACAGAGCCCTAGCTGGTACAAAACAAGAGAGGAGAAGAGACCACACATTTATGTCTCTGGTTTTATAGCTATAAATTGTTAAGGCATCTTTGAACATTGTAAGGAGAATTTGGTGTCTTTAACCCTTTAACTCCCAAAATCTAATTATTAATTCTCCTCTCTAGCTGCTACACATTTCCTTGTTAATTAGCTATGAGGACTTGGTGCTGGATCAAGATAGAAGCTTCTCCCTGATAAGTTGGAATATTCTCATTATCTGTTTGCTGAATAATGTATGTATATTGTAGAGAGAATTTTTATGTTAATCACTTCTGAGAGATAAGGGGTTAACAGCTGTATGTTAAGGTGCTTTTCTTTTCATTAAAATAGTGATTTGCTCCCTTATTATTAACAAGCAAATCCTAAATTGTACAATCTACTTAATTTCTTATACTTACAGCAAGACCAAATATTTCTCTAAATGCTTGTTTTTGTCTATTTTCTGTTTTAAGGTTTTGAAATGGGCTTGCCTCCTTAGAATTTTGCTCAAATAAAGTTTGCCATCCTATGTTTTAACACATGATTTTCCTATTCCTCCATATTCAAAAGCTTATTGACAATATTTACACATACTGACTTGACAGCAGTAGAAACAAGATAACTGGTACTCTGCACAACGTCATCCAAAGCTTTTTGAGTGAGATTGTGTATTTCCTTGATTCGCAAAAGATATGCTGCACTCGTGTTTCTTAACTGTTCATTTTTGGAGATGTCTTCGTTTCAAGGACAGCATTGCACATGTTACATGGAAGACCCATCACAACTTAAACGCCACAAGGACGTACGACGTAGCCAGGGATTGGGGAATGTTGAGGGGTATACTGGTAGAAGTAGATCTTTAACTCGAATGAAACCGCAATCAACTATCGATTGGCTTACTCAACTTTATACTGCGAACTTTTTAGTGATTAAAATTTTGTTTTAAAAGCGATTTCCCTTCCAAAATTCGTCCTTCTTTTGCTAGTGCGTCCCAGCAGCTCCTTCTTCGTATCTCACTGGTTAAACGAACCTAGCTAGACCTCGTGCGTCGGACTAAGTAACGAACTAAAGCAGCGAGGAGGTTGTTTCTTGGCTCCAGTCGCATTGATTTTCTCAAGAGACTTTAGAGAGGATAGGTAAGCGAGAGAAATTTTCTTAAAAACACATTTTATTGCAACTTTATGTACACAAACCTGACTCCTGCACTGATCTTTGTTGGTATCTTATCTCGCAAAAAAGGACGATCTCCTTGGCATTGCCCGAGATGTAGAAGAACTGAGGCACTACTTTCCCTTAGTAAACTAGACGCTCGATGTCCTTTATGCATGACCCCAATCTTCTCAAATACTATTCGTTGAGCTATTCGTATTTTTTCTAGTTTTTCTAAAGAGGATAGTTCTGTGGGTATTTCACACACATACATATTATTCACTACAGCCTGACATGGTAATTTCCCTTTTATGACCTTTGAGTGACATGTGTTGCATATACACTGTTTTCCATCAAATGACTGTTGACTGAATACTGAAATATGTTTGACATGGGTACTTCTCGTTTATGCATGTTATTACCGATTTAGAATAAAGTATTCGATTACAGATAGTACATATGAAATAAGGGCCCTCTCTCATTTTCCTCTTAAACTTGTTAATACACAATTCAACCGATTTGGCTTTCACTAATTTCTCATTGCGTTGGGAAAGTAATTCTTTCTTCTTTTTAGCATCCATAGTTGAATATTTTCTTTCAATGTCTTCCAGAAACCTTTTTTTGGCAACAGGTTCCATGCTGTCATACATATGTTTTTTTTTTCTGTGTTTTCTCATGATGTGTTTCCTTTCAATTTCAGTAATTTTACATGAACAGCAGATAAATTGTATATCATATTCCATAGTCTGACATTCCCGTTTATTTTGAATAATATTAATTTCCTCTACTAGTTTATCCACAAAGAGTAAATACTTACAGAAAACCTCTGCCCAGAACCACAGGCGTCTCGACCAAAATAATACTTTGTTTAAATTTGATACTTTAGGTGACTTGCTTTATTTGCAAAATAATTTACATTGAAGGCATCAGTACATACACATTATCACAACTGTCAAAATTTGTTTCAGCCAGAAACTTGTTCATTTTTTTCAATCATTAATAAACATGATGTTATCCCACTCATTGATCAGTGTGGCCTTGTACAAATGTATGAAACATGTTTCTCTATTATTTTGTTCATGGGATGCTCAAGTTAAAATAAAATCTCCAATGATTATTGTTAGGGCCACTACTTTGTCTTTCCTTTCAATTTCAGTAATTTTACATGAACAGCAAATAAATTGTATATCATATTCCATAGTCTGACATTCCTGTTTATTTTGAATAATATTAATTTTCTCTACTAGATTATCAACACCACGAATGAGTATTACCTGTTTCATTGCAGGTGAATGACTGTTTTCATATGTCAGAAGAGAAAATAATTGCTTTATTTTTGTATTTTGTTGATAAACACAAACTATACAGCAACTTGAAATCCACATTAAAAATCCTGTGGGGCCACTCAAAATCAAGGTCTCTAAAGATATTCTGCTTTCAGTTAAATTACTTAATTCTCTGTG